TGAAAACAATTAAGGATTTCTTTATTCCTTCCAACTTTAACCATGTGATTGATGCAGTCAGGTCTGTGGCTGGATATGATGAGGAAACAAATCAATACAAGACTCCATCCTTGGCCCTCCAACTCGGCCATAGCCTCCAAAAAGCTATCAGATATTCTTGAATGTGACTCAAAAATGGAGCATTGTGTTGATGAACTGTTTATAAAAAACCTCCAACGAAGCCGGCTGCTTTTTGAGAAGAGGTGGGACGTCTGTGTTTTTTCTGCTGCCCTACAGACCCTCCGCCAAGCGAAGTGGAATACTCCGGACCTGCTCCCTCTGACTGAGGACGTTAGAGCCATGCATGCACATATCGAGGTATGTCGACCTGAATATGTGCAGACCCTAAAGAGTGAGCCAACCCTTAAGCACTGGTCTAAACCGGCAGTTTTGACTCTTTGTGAGGTCATTATTTTCAATCGAAGAAGGGAAGGTGAGGTTTCAAAGATTCCACTGACAGCGTTTACTTTAAGATGTAAGACTGGGATCCATTCTGACATTGCTCTGGGACTGTCCCAACTTGAGAAAAAGCTGTGTCAGCATTTTGCCGGTTCTGTTGACTCCTGAAATGATTGCTTCGATGGAGGTGCTGGTGGAGAACAGAAGAGCCTGTTCCATCTCTAACCATAACCCATACTTCTTCTCCCGCCCGGGTGCAGACACCCACATCAGGGGATCAGACTCCCTACGGCAGGTGGCCAAAGAATGTGGTGCGGTGCATCCAGAAATGTTATCCTCAACCAAACTTAGAAAGCACATAGCTACTATGTCTACAGTTCTCAATATGAAAGAGAATGAAATGGACATACTAGCCAACTTCCTCGGCCATGACATTCGCATCCACAGACAATATTACAGACTACCAGAGGGGACACTGGAGCTGGCCAAAATCAGCAAAGTGTTAATGGCCATGTAGCAGGGAAGAGTGACGGAATTCAAAGGAAAGTGCCTCGAAGGTAATTCTTGAAATCATTAAAATATTTATCATTTTTATTATTTTCCCCTAAATGACACTTGTGTTTTTATTTTCTGTGCTACAGGGAGAGCAGTAGAGATCCTCTCAGAAACGGACGGGCTAAAAGAAACTTCAAGTGTAGGACCTTCAACTATTCAACCAGATGCACCGCATGGTAGTGGCAGTGCCCCTTCTGGTAAGTGTACCAGGTGGAGGGTTACAGCCAGGCTGCTTGTCCCTAACCCTGGGAGTGTATATTTCTAATATATTTTTTATTCATCTCTCCAGAACGTAAGAAAGCCATGGTCTGCATCTGAGGTGAAGGCTGTGGAGAAGACCATGATGCCTTTCATACAGACTGGAAAAGACCCTGAGAAGTCTCACTGCGTGGCCTGGCCTGGCCTGGCCTGGCCTGCATTAACGCCTCACCAGAGGACCTTGGACATCGGACATGGAGTGACATTAAATTCTATGTCAAAAATAGAATCACTGCATTTCGAAGAAAAAATCTAAAAAGAAATGTATTTTTGTATTACTTAAAGTAGTCCCAGTAAGAAAATCAGTGCAGAGTCATTCTAAAATAAAGCAAGATTTTAGGAGTTAAAACCATGGCTATGGGTCCCATATGGAACGGCTGTCTTAGGGACCCACCAGGTAACAAAAACGTGTGTGTGTGTGTGCGTGTGAGTGTGTAAGAGTATCTGAACAAGCAAAAATAAAATATGTGGTTTTGGGCGGGTCTGTTGAGTGAAGGGGTGATGGGCCTGCGGGATCGTTTTTAACCAAACTGTAGGGCACTTTGTGTTGCGTCTTCTGTATGAAAAGCACTTTATAAATAACATTTTTTTGATTGATTGACCAGAATCAAGTTGATCAAATAACATCCAACAGAAGAAACTATGGCATCGTATTACAATTATGCTTAAAATTATTAATATCTGTAACAAAAGGCCAGTGAGAAAGGCCACAGAGGTATTTGAGAGGACATTAGGGGCCCAGGTCTTTGGCAGGTATGTCACAAGGCATGGGCCAAATTTAAATGTGACATTTAGATGCTTGGAACCTCACTGGTGTCAACTACAGAAAATGACAAATATTTTGAAAGACAAGTCTCTGGACAACACCTATGATAATGTAAGCGTTGACCAAAAATAATAATGCGAAATCACCCTTGACATTTGCCAAAGGCGATGTTCTGTGTCCATCTACAGTCTGACAGCAGTGGGAATGAGCAGCACTTTCATTAGCAGGAGTGCTGCCAGCTCACAATTCTTATTATTTCTTCTCGTTTTTCTTCATTTGTGTTTTTCATTACATTGAACATTAACACAAACTGTGAATACTGGTGTCTAATCTCTGCATGTGTTAAAGCATTTGACAGTTTCATGTGATGATTCATCCCCAGATTAATTTAGCCAAAGCGGAGGGGTGTCTGTTTAGAAGAGGAACACATTGTTTTTGCTTCATTTAATGACTCAACAGTCAGTCTGAGTCCAGAGCTAAATAGCTCAAAGCAACATCAATATGTACATAGTCCTGTGAATTTATAGCTGATGGCATGCGTGGCAATTTTGATTAGCAAACCTCCTCTGGGAAGTCAGCGGCGCGCCGTTTTCTTTGAAGGATTTCTGCAATGTGTGCAGCAGAAATATTATGAATCAATTTTATTGTTCAAGGCAGAGAATTAGAAAGTTTCTGTCTCTGTGGGCGAAGCTATAAAAATCATGTCATGCAGCTTAATCACCACAGAGGATTTGGTGGGGCTAAAGAATTGTGTATTAGTAAATAAGGAAGTATAAGTAATCATTATATACAATATATTATACTATCATAAGTGAGAACCACTACACTAGTGTCTAGATGCATCAGTAATCCGACGTAACAAAGTATGTGTCTACGTAGATTCTTTATGTCTATGGTTTCTACTACCACTAAAAACATGCACGATCCAAATCCTCCTCTCCAGATGTCCTGATCAAGCCGAGCATCAACATCTGAAGAGCAATAAAAGTGTACCTTGACCAGTGGGGGTCCCAGCTCCAAAAGGTCCATGAGCACGTACGCTGACAGGCTTGCAATCTCACTCCTTCCGTTGGTGGTGAACCTGGAAACAGAATTATTCATTGCATTCTTTCGACACCTTCTATTCTTTTGAAAACGGCTTGACTGCCTTGTCCAAAAGTCGGCTCTTGACTCAACACTACGTTCCAGATGCTGTTAATGCTGAGGGGAGTATTTTATTTTGGACGAGCCTAGTTTAGCCTCTGTGGACTTTTGAATGCACTAGTTAAGTGAATGGGGATCCTGCCAGCTAACACAATCGCAAATGCACATTTTCCTGCGGGAGGGGCCACTTGTGGCCACTTTTAAAAAGACGGCAGGGGGGGAAAGTGATGACTCATAAGTTTCTACAGCAAAGAAATGCTGTAGAAATGACCTTGACCCTACATCTGAATTGTGTTTGAAAATCTGAAATGTACAGTAACCAAAAGTTTGGACACACCTTCTCATTCAAAGAGTTTTTTGTTATTTATGAAAATTGTAGCTTCACACTGAAGGCATCAAAATTATGAACTAACTCATGTGGAATTATGTACAAAAGAAAAAAAGTATGAAACAACTGAAAATATGTTTTACATTATATTCTCTTCTTCAAAGTAGCACCTTTTGCTCTGATCTCTGCTTCGCACACTCTTGGCATTCTCTTGATGAGTTTCAAGAGGACCTGAAATGGTCTTCCAACAGTCTTGAAGGAGTTCCCAGAGATGCTTAGCACTTGTTAGGCCTTTCGCCTTCACTCTGTCGTCCAGCTCACCCCAAAACCATCTGCATTCGGTTCAGGTCCGGTGACTGGGGAGGCCAGGTCATCTGGCTCAGCACCCACCACTCTCCTTATTGGTCAAATAGCACTTACATAGCCTGGGTGTGAATCTGCAGTCAATAGTCATGAAAATATAGGAACCTCATTGAATGAGAAAGTGTGTCCAAACTTTTGGTCTGTACTGTATGTAAAAAGCACTGCCTGCGTGAGAAAGCCAGATCCCGTCAGACCCCCTCTGAAGCTGGGCCGGGCCTGGTTATTACTGTGATGGGAGAAGTAAGTAAGTAAGTAAGTAAGCTTTATTTATATACCGCCTTTCACAGACCAGAGTCACAAAGCGGTTTACAATTGTTATTTTTGGGCACTTGTCCTCTCACTCCACACAGAGATGGGAGCAGGGTCGCCAGTACAGGAGGCGCATGCCAGACCTATATTGGACATATTTTTAGTGGTAGGGGAAACCGGAGTACCCGGAGGAAACCTACGCAGACCTCTAAGAACACAGTGGGGTGGTTGCGGCTGTAAAGTGCCAAACTGCTGTGGTGTCCTTAGGCAAGACTCTTCACCCGCATTGCCTGAAATGAGTCTGGTGTGTGTGTTTGAGCCATCGGAGGGTCAATGGCACATACTGTTGGCTCGCTAATGTCAATGTACCAGTGTGTCAGTGAGATGCAGTTGTGGCTACAGTGGTTTTTTATCATTACCGTGTTTGAGTGAATGAAAAAGTGTCTATGAGTGCCTATATGCTATATAAAAAAAACAATGTAATAAAAAGTGAGAGGCAATTGTTCTATGCCTCTCACTATTTCATGCACTACAGCTCATATTCATCTCACCTATCCATTGCTACCTATAGGCCTATATGTCAAAACATGCACCCCCAAAACAAGAAACTCCTGTTGCAAATACCTGGCATAGTTATTCATGTCATCTGACTGTGCATCACCAACTCACCTGACTGAAAATCCATAGGTCTCTTCTCGCGCACTATTGGACAGCGACGAAGACGCATTTCGCTCCTATTGGCCCAGACGTCTGCCAGTCTGCAGTAGGCGGGGCGAGCGCACTGAATACAAGGAAATATTGCAGTTTTATGATTCCACCTGCGAGCGCCGGGTTTAGGAGAGTTTCTCTGCTTGTATAGCCATGGGGAGAGCTCTGTCTGTTTTCGGGGTCGTTGTATTCATGAGTTGTGCTGCCAGCGCTTTGGACAATGGTTTGGCGCTGAAACCTACCATGGGCTGGCTGCACTGGGAGAGATTCATGTGCAACACCGACTGTCAAAGTGATCCTGAAAACTGCATTAGGTATGACTTTGATTTACACTGGCATACACGCTCACATCACTTACGCACTCATAGAAGACAGGACAGCGTTTATATCATCCCTTTCGAAGTGGACTTGTTCAACAGGAAGTGTATGTACCTGCAGATAGGGGGCAGCACACATCAATTCAACGCAAATTTGACATACAGTAATAAATGATTAATCAATGAGCGTTCTTGGGAAACTGAAGACCTAAATGTGAGCCAACAGTAGCTCACTTTCTCACCACATCCGCTCTGATCACGTGTTGATATGCTTTGAAGGCCAGACCCATGTAATAATCTTTATTTCCTGGACATAAGACTTATAAATCAGGGACCATTTTAGATTTTCAGCTTCAAGGGTGTTTAGCACTTTTGGGAAAGGGTGTGACGGACATCATTCAAATATAGATTTATAATACACATTTATTATATATCCATTAATAACTCAACTCCTGCTTAGATCAACATTTTTCTCCTTCCCTTTTTACTGCTGTTAACAGATACACAGATAAATCCAGCATTACTGGAATCTCATCACAGATATCACTAGGCGTGTAGTGTAGTGTAGTTAAGATTCAGTATATTTTCGCATAGCCCATTTACTCTCCTGTATCATATTTGATTTTCCTATGATGCAAAAACCTCACATGAAGCTTTCCCTTGGTTTGGAAAGACATTCTAATATCTAATGCTCAATCAAACCTGTAATGATTTCTATATTGTCCTTCTCTATGTCATCATTACTACACAAATAAGGCTACATTCAAAACACAGAGACACACAAGAAATACATTATTTTGATATGTTTTGCCTTCATTAACTAAATAAAGGTGGTTTCCTCAACTTTGAGCTTTTTCCCTTGTTTTGCTGCTTTCCTGGCAGTGAGAAGCTATTCATGCAGATGGCTGATGCGATGGTAAAGGAGGGCTGGAGAGACGCTGGATACGAGTACGTTTGCATCGATGACTGCTGGTCCTCACACAAGCGTGACGCACAGGGCCGACTGGAGGCCGACCCCACCAGGTTCCCCAGCGGCATCAAGAATCTGGCCAACTATGTGAGTTTTTACCACTTTGGATAGATTAAATGTTGTTATTTTGCCATAAACCTAAACTATAGTAAGGATCATTCATTATTCTTTACAGCTTTACCAATTACACAAAATGTTGTTATACAGCAATATCCTATCTTTTATTCTGAGCTTTGCCAAGGATCAAAAGATTGCAATCTCAAGTTTGATGGACCTAAATTTTGAAATTGGATTTACAATACTGTACAGCCCTGGTGAGAATGGAATGGCAAACTGCTTACTTTCAAGTCTTCAGTTATAAACACAGTAAGACAGTTAGAATAGCTAAAGCTTACGTCACCATTAGTAATTTATATTTTAAGTAAATACATTCTATACTATTCAGTTGGTGGGATAATATCTGCCCTGTATCATCTTTTGTATTGCACTGACCCCTGCTGGTTAAAAGTCTAACATGCACTTGTAGGTACATTCCAAAGGCCTGAAGCTGGGAATTTATGCAGACCTCGGCTCCAAAACCTGTGGTGGATATCCAGGCAGTCTGGGATACCATGAGATTGACGCCAAAACATTTGCTGAGTGGGATGTCGATCTGCTCAAGTATGATGGCTGCTATTTAGACTGGAAGCTGCTTGGAGAAGGCAAGTCCTAATATAAAGGTTTCATTCATACAAGACTAAGTTACTTCAAAATTTAAGTTTAAAATAGAAAGTAGATTTGCTAGGAAGAATGAGGAAAATATCTAAAAGACATTTCACAAAATTAAATATATTAATGTATAGGGCTTTGACACATAAATACTTATCACCACCTGACATCCTAATCAATCATCAAGTTTTAGCGCATTTTTCTTTGTTGTATAATTTATTGCAATTTGATTTTAAGGTTACAAGAACATGTCAAAAGCTCTTAACGAGACTGGAAAGAGCATCCTCTACTCCTGTGAATGGCCTTTGTATGAGTGGCCTTTTCAGCAGGTGAGATAGTTGTATCTGTGTGCACAATTAGAAGGTTTTGTTTTTTATTTTTACTAATTGTTCTTCACTCCAGCCCGATTACACAGCCATCCGTGAAACCTGTAATCACTGGCGCAACTATGCTGATGTCTATGACTCATGGAGTAGCGTCAAGTCCATTTTGGATTGGAGCGCCAAATATCAGCAAATCATTGTCCCTTCAGCTGGACCTGGAGGCTGGAATGATCCTGACATGGTGATTTTTTTTATTTTTCACGTTGACTCATCTATTTTTCTGTCAGTCCATCATATATATATATTTTTCAGCTTGTAATTGGGAATTTTGGCCTAAGTCATGGCCAGCAGGAGTCCCAAATGGCCTTATGGGCAATCATGGCAGCTCCACTGATAATGTCCAATGATCTGCGAGATATTTGCCCGCGTTCGAAAGCACTGCTACAAAACAAATACATCATTGCCATAAATCAAGACCCATTGGGTAAACAAGGGTTCCAGACTTCCAAGGTATGTCCGCTAAAATCCGTCAAATGTAAATCATGTAACACATATTGGTTTGTTTTAGGGAGGTGACTTTGAGGTGTGGGAGAGGCCTCTGTCTGGGAACCGACTGGCCATAGCCGTGCTGAACGTGCGGGAGATTGGGGGCCCTGGGCGCTTTATGCTTGCTTTGGCTCCAGGCTGGACACACTGTAATCCTGACTGTAACGTCACCATGATCCTCCCTAAGTATCAGGAGCTGGGCTCAGTTCCTCTGCAAACTAACATGACGCTCCCAGTGAATCCATCAGGGACCGTTCTGCTGACTGTCACTCCTCGGAGCAAGCTCGAATGGAAGAGCTTCTTGTAGAGTGCTTTTACATTGCACTTTGTTCACATGATTCTAAAATGCACTTTATTTGTTGAAATTTTGGGCAATGTTTTTAAAAGTAATGGGTACATTTTTAATAAATTGATTTTACATACCATTTATTATAGGCCTACTGCTGAAGTACATATGTTTAAACATTTCAAACAGAACATTAGTGTGAAGTTCTACACACATGCAAAGACTTTCAAATAGATCACCAGTGATCACAAGGATGAGTATTCAGAATTTTTCCGATGCATGACCTTGCACAGGGGTGACAGTAGCTCAGTTGGTAGAGCATTGGCCTTCAGGCCTGAAGGTTGTGGGTTCAATTCCCACCTCAACACCTTCTCCGACTCCCACTGATGTCTGCTGTTGTGTCCTTGGGCAAGATACTTAACCCCACTTTGCCTAAAGCCCCCACTGAAAGATCAAGGCTATGCTCACACTCAGAGCAGCCGTCCTCCTGTGGACTCACCACCTGCAGAGGGTCAGTGAGGGGCTGGTGCTATGAGACTTTGCCACCACCCTGACCCAGAAATGGATTAAAGGGTAGAAAATGGATGGACCTTGAACAGCTCAACTTTTAGACACAATTAGCATTAATGTTGTCTGGTCCGACAGTGCCTCAATTGGTAGAGCATTGGCCTTTGGGTCTGAGCCCACAAGACCTATTTCACAACTCTTGTCTGTCATGTCCTTGGGCAAGACACCTGACACCCCCACTGGAAGCTCTAGGCTCCTGTGGATTCACCACCTGCAGCTCTGACTGCCACCCCAGAAATAAAGGGATGTTTGTCTAATTGAAACACCTGTAACATTAACCTTATTCTATCAGCCCCAAGTAGAAAAACACGCAAAATTAGGAAACAAGAGTAAATTAAGAGTGTAAGTTAACACTTGAGATTCTACACGAGTCCTGCTTTGTCCTTCAGCATACAGGTGATGACTCACCTTTGAAATTACACCCAACAATCTGGGTAAGATTCAGACAGATGCTTTGAATGTACATTCTGTATTAACATTTGTGTTTGGCCAACTCATTTACTTTGGGGCCATAGCTTACCCCTGAAGCAAGCCTGAGGCGTTTATGGATAATTTGGGTTTGTCAAGAGTAAGTTTGTGAGGACCACCATGGGACAAGTACACCAACAGGCAGATTTGAATGCTATTGTACTACCTTCTGGTACAATTGGCCCAACACATTAAAAGACTAGCCAATTCAGGTCAAAATCTTTTCCATGATTAATTTGGGAGAGGCACACAAGGGTTAGACTTGTGTTTGAGAAAAATAGTTATGGGTTTAAGTGCTCACCATCTTAATATTCATTGAAACTGGCAATTGGATTTATCCTCTATTTCACAACCTTCAAAACAAAATAAGAAACTACCCTAGGAAAGTTCTAAGTATATAAACTAACATTTCAATGTCAAGGAGACAAACTACCAGTGTTTTTACAAGTTTATTGTAAACCGACATAGAACCCAGAAGACTCCACAATTTAGAACTGGATGACCTGGCCCTGTGAAGTAAAAAGCACAAGTCAGTATTTTTATGAAACTTCAAAATGTATACACAATATGCATAAGACTTAAGCAGTCACTTTGCAAACATTTAGCATAAAGCCTTGCTGAACGCACGTTCAAACACATGCACCCCACACATTATCCAATTCAGAGCAGATAGGGGAAATGTATTATTTCAGTGCGAAGTAAGGCCAGTTCATATTTTAGAATACAGGCAAAAATTGTTTTAAGGCAGGCAGCACTGGGCTGATTCAACCCAAGAACGTACCTTTCTCTTCTTGTCACCTCCCAACTCAAAGTGCTTGCATCGCTTGATGGCCAGCATTCTCTTTGATCGGCAGTTGGGTTCCACACACTCCAGCCTCAGCACAATCTTCTTAGTTGTCTTAGCCTTTTTTCTGAAGATTGGCTTAGTTTGTCCTCCGTATCCGGACTGCTTTCTGTCGTATCTCCTCTTACCTGCAGAGAGATTGCATTACAAAATGTACCTTGGACTGCAGCCATTGAGTATTTCAACTAAGATACACATTTAATTTAGCGATACAACTTGCCCCATACAAAATTCCTCACAATGGATAGGAATAAAACTAGAATTTACACAAAACGACCACCATTAACAAGTGATGAGTGGATGTGGTCAGAGCGAATAGCCACACTTTATAAAAACCATGTAAGTTAAATTTCAAATTAAGTTTTATTTTAAGCGCTATAATTTTTATACCAATGAGTTCCTGTAAATTATTTAATGTTCAGGGTATAGACATCAGGCCATTTTACCCTACAACCTTCGAAGCCAGAGCAGTGTAGTCACAATCAGTGATGGGAATAATTGCGTTGAAATAAACTTACCAACGCTGTTACTTCTCAGTAAAGAGTAATCCAACTAATTTGACTGCAACTAACGCTTATTGCCGACACAATTACTGCACGTTACTTAAGTCGCACAATTAACTTTTTGCCCACACGCCCTGCGGCGCCTCGTGAGTTTGCTCATCTCTCCAGTCACTGCTACAGGACCGCAGCCCCACACCGCTTATTTTACACTGCTTGATTATGTGTTGCACGCCAAAGCGTTCTGCCTCATCTACGGTGACTGTCCCCCGCGTTGAGATTTGCCCTGTCTGTTGGGCATAGCTGTGCCCATTCATTTGAAGCAACAGCGCTTTTGCGGGATTGGCAGCTGGTATCTGCGGCATGGGCCAAGCCAGTGCGCTGCTTTGCCCCCTTTTCCACCTAGTTACGGATTTAGAGGAAAGTGGCCGCACAGATAAAGGACACTAATCTATTCTGCTCCCCACCGCCTCTATATCCGAGCGGTGCTCTGCGCACTGTATTATCCTTCGTTCTGGTCTGTAAGGCAGGAGGGCTGCTGAACGGAGGGGTCGTGTGTGTATGTGGGAACTTCAAGTTTCATAATGTGTTTGATCCGGTATAAAAATAAATGCAATGTAATTTAAAAGAACCTTGGCCTGTCTTATTACTTACCTGTGCCTTCAGGACAGTTCCCTTAATAGGGTGGCGTTCTTGCTAAAGTTAATTTACTTAGAAGTAGTAGTAAGTAAGTAATATTTATATACCGCCTTTTCACTGCACATCGGAGTCTCAAAGCGGTTCACAATTGTGAAGAAATCAGAAGTTATCCTAAATTACAACTTGCTAAAGCTCGGTACGACAAATGGAAAATTGCAAGTTACTTTTACTGGTAACCATTCTTTTCTGAACTCTAACTCAGTTATTTTGGGAGAAGTAACTAGGAACTATAATTAATTTTCCTAAGTAACATGCCAAACACTGGTCACAATATGCCGATGCAAGATTTTAGGCTTGCTAATTTATTGCCTAGTCAATTTGAGTCTCACGTAAACTAGATTAAACGTGACAGGAACGAATATTTTAACAAAAACCTAAGCTCTTGTTTTATGAAAAATTGTGACACTGCAGCAATTTGACATTCCGTTTCTAAACGCACCAGCAACATCACTCACCCTGAGCATAGAGGGAGTCCTTCCCCTTCTTGTACTGGGTTACTTTGTGTGGTTGATGCTTCTTGCACTTTTTGCAGTAAGTCCTGCGAGTCTTCGGGACGTTCACCTATAAAGAACGACGAATAGAATGAAATGAGCCAGAAAATAAGTCAAAAAATTGTGCGTGTGATAGCAAAACGAGGCAGTGTATCATTAGCACTACATTAGCATAGGCCCTTTCACACCACGGTTTACAGTCCCCATTCTACTTTAGCTCATACATTTTAGGCACTGGCACATACAGGGAATTTGTGTCGGGTTTGAACATTGATCCTAGTTTAGAAACACGCCAGCACACAAAAGACTAGCGTGCAGTAGGGACCGTGTAAGTGCACTCGTTCTAGCTAAACAAACAGGGCATGTAGTAATGAACTAACACCAAAATAAACACAACCAATCAGAAAAATATGTTCACCTATGTGTTAACTTAACATTTAACTACACGATGAAACAAGTGGGATATCTCAATAATCCATAAATAAAGAGGATTACTGATGATTGTGTGACAGAGCAGAATCATACCATGGCTGCGCCCGATGCTCGACGAAAGAGGAAGTTGTAAAAGGAAGCTCCCCCTAATGTAGGCTGAGAGCGCCATCAACGCTCCCAGCGGAGGGCGGGGGAATTGCACTGCACAACTTTTACGGTGGGTAATAGACATTTTAACCAAAAAAATTCTAGCATTTTTACGTGATTACTTTACATTATTTTTCCTGGTATGAGTACTTTATGTTACTAATTAATTTTCTGCCAGTTGTATACTTGTATCAACGTTTCTAAACCCACATGATCTCTAAATAATCCTTTCATTTTGAATTACCTAGTTTCTGTGCAATCAGCAACACGACATTAAAGAGGTTTGAAGTGGTGTTTTTATCGGTACTTCGAATTTGAATAACTATTTGGCTTAAGTATGACAGTATGATTTTTTTTTTACGGCAATGTTGTTTATGTAAACGACTTTTTAGTATTATACTTGTGCGCATGTGTGTTACCTTGTGACCTATGTTTCGCGGGTTTTGGTCCTCTATAAATAAATGGGGACCTCACTTTTTGGGAGTCTCCAACTACAATTTGCCTCTTTCGGTGTCTCTCATCCTTCTCCCGTTTGGTACGCTACATTTACGTTGTTCACCAGACAAGACAGAAAAGTATCTGTACTTAGTATGGATACTAAGTACAGATACCAGTGTACACAAAATCAACTGAAAACATTCACTTTTCAAATACTTTCCATTATGCAAAAAACGGTTTTATTCATCTGGATGTTCTACACATAATAGATAATAGTTGGTCTTTTATTATTTATAGAGTATTTATAGATGTATTAGTTTTTTAATGGCTGTGCGCAAAGTCACTAAAAGTAACTGCTGTCTATCCTATAAACTGGAGCTACATGATGAGTAGAGGACAGTATGAAAATGAGCTTGAATTAAAAAGGGGAAGTAAGTGGAGTCTATTTCTCTTGGTGGGTGTGTTCTTGCATCACATATTAACTCACATTTCATGAAAGGCACTTCACAAACAGACTGGATTCGGTGTCCGCGCTCCAAAACGTCTGCAGTCTGATGCTCCACACGACTGAAGCTCTGGGTAAGTCACTATTAGTACAGTCCTGTGCATATGCTGTAGTGTCAAACGTGTTTTGAATAAATGTAGACAATCTCATACACTGTGAAAGAGTTTATGTATCACCAATCGTTCTTGGTAAAAGTGGGGGAGTACACCAACCAACCAATAACTCTAAATTAGCATCAAATTGGCGAATGAAACAGTTGAATCCCATCTCTTTAAGGTCATCATATTGATCTGTAGTTTTTTATGTCAAGTATTTCAACTTTATATAACTTCTGAATAGCTAAACAACTTTGCTGTAGATGTTCTAAAATGGACTCCTATTAAATTAACGATTCAATAGGAATAGGAACCACCAATAATATCCCAGTTTTTTTTTTTTTTTAGATTGAGTCACCTTATCCTAATGATGAGACGACAAACTGCCCAAGAAAGTTGTAGAAAGTCCACATGGTATAACCGGTTAAGGCTAAGATATAGGCCTAAATATTAGACCACACACTTATCTGTCAGGAAATGTCGGGAAAGGCATGAACATGACAGGTTCCTGTTCATCGTCCTGTACGATAAGCCACTGCCAGAAAGCCTCTTGACACTGAGTTTGAAAAAACGGTATGAATATTAGATATCAACATTTTAGATTGTTTGAGAAAAGTTTTTTTGTCAGAACTAACAAAACATTTGCATTTTGTCAGTTTACCAATGCCATATGCCGTCTTGCCCTTAGTTAGTTTTAAATCATATTGGTAAAAACTTAAATAGATGACACAACACAATTGTGTTGATTAACTAAACATGGGCTTAAGTATTTGGCAATGAAACAAAGTGACTTATAGAAATCACATTTTAAATTTCTCAAGCAATTATCATTATCAATATAGTCCCACGTTTGTTTGGAAATATGTCCCACTTCCTCTACTTTTCCTCATTGCAGTTTAACATTGCAGCAACTTCCCCATGAGTTTGTCTGTATCTGCCACATGGAATCATAACGCACATTAGATTAACCTGCAGTGAACATATTCCTTCTGTTACCCCAACAGAAATACACATAGTATTCATAATAAGAGCTGATCCAGAACAGCATATACTCTGAATTGTAACATGTTTTTGTACAGTATGCGTGAGACAGCTCATCTAATGCAAAAGATCACTTGTTATAAGGAAGTGCACTTTGTCTGAAAATAGCCTCAGCTGAATTCTGACACACACTAACAAGCTGTGCAGAAAGCATGTTTTAAAAGCAGTGGAATACACATTTATACAGCTGTTACTGGAGGCTGCAGTGTTTTAACAAGTTATATCTATTTATGCTTACCAAGTTTCCAGTTCAAGCTGGTTTTATAAGCTATATATAGGCTATATAAATACATAGAAGACATTTCCATAACTGCCACGAAGGACTTTGTTTAACAAAATAATACATATCGTTTACTTGTCCGACAGAAACATTGCACAAATCATACCATAAGCCGGCTGTATTTATCTTAATAGAACACATATATGTTTTGCATATAAGAAAGAGCCTTGTAAGTCTCTTTTTGACAGCTGAGCTGGGCTGAGAGCTGTTGTGAAGGTGGTTTCTGTCGAAAAAACCTGATTCAACGTGACAGAGGTCAAATGCTTGCATGTGAAACTAGTGATAGAAGCAAGGAACCACAGTCAGGTTTTGTTTTGTGATTTCAACATTAGGTATTATGTAAAATACTTAAAGACAAACATACTGTTCTTGTGACCCTAAAACAATAGTACGGGATACAGATGCACTTGACAACTTGACAAGAGACATTGCAAATTTAAATAGGGATTCCTTATGGTTATAGCCAGCATGCACTGGTAAAGGAAATACTGTAGAAGGGGAGGCTGGTATGTAAAGTGTGGTAGATGCAAACTAGTGACAGTGGAAAACCTTTTATGACCTGTCTTTATTCTACCCCACAAAGTTTAATCAATCAATATTGATTACCGGGAATTACATGTCAATTAAAACTGTACATATTTCATGAATTCTAAATGTGTGCTGAAATAAATGAGGATTCCTTTTTGTTTTTCAAGAATCCAACTAACTTAGGCTAATTGTCACAGATATTGATTACGCATTACTTAAGTGCATCTAATGGTTACATTTTTACACATGGCTTTCTTGGTGGGACAACACACCTGGTAAATAAATTGTATAATAATTTAGCATCAGTTTATGGCAAAAAAGGAGAAGAAAAGTTTCATAATATTCAAAAAGTTATATATAATCACCCCTCTGAAGTATAAATATTGTAATTTGTCAAATGGCTTTAAGTCCACTATTGGGAGTATGTTTGGAAAAAAAGCGGTATTCTGAAAAAGTTGGATTTCACTAAACTCTAAACATGAAGATGAACAGGAGAATGAGCTTTAGTGTTGATGCCCTCTATAACACTTCCCCCTGACCTGTTTCTAGCAGCTTAAAATGGGTGAAGTTCAGAGCTGTTAGTTATGAATGAGATGATCCCAACCAACACTTTTATCTACATGTGCTCTAGGTAAATCATGTCAGACATTGTTCTCGAGGAAATCTTCATCAAAAGGTCGCAGCAGAAGAAAAAGACCTCCCCTTTGAACTTCAAGGAGCGCTGGTTCATCCTAACCCAGGAGAAAATATCTTACTACGACTACGATGCTGACAAAATGGTGCGTGAAATCAAACAGATAATAATAGTTGTTGCTGAGGAGTGATCTGACAGTTTTCTCGACCACTATTCGCAGAAAAGAAAAGGATTTAAGGGATCTGTGGACCTGGAGAAGATAAAGTGTGTGGAGATTGTCCAACCAGAGATGGGTGCACCACTGGAGCGAAGCTTTCCCTTCCAGGTAAATGGTTAATCAACGGTTTGTACAGATTAAACACTATTTATTTAGTCCTTCAACACACAAAAATACAAATCTAAATGTCTTGGTTTTGGAAAAATATATTTTAGATTCAAATAGAAATTATTCCAAGATAAAAAATAGGGACTTTGTGTATAACTCCTTTTGTGTATTACATGTTATTGTGTTTGTGTTGATTTAAACTGGATTGACTGTGAATAACCAAACAACAATAAATTAAATGTATTTTGTATTGAAGACTTCATTGATTATATTTGACCATGGCAAGGCAAGTTTATTTGTATAGAACAATTCATACACAAGGCAACTCAAAGTGCTGAACAAAAGATAAGATAGCATTAATAACATAAATAATCACAGTACATTAAAAAGAAAGATAAAAACATAAAATCCCTCAGTTGTATGCACAGATAAACAGAACTGTTTTTAACCTGGTTTTAAACATTCTCAGAGAGGAGGCCTGTCTCACATCTTCAGGAAGATTGTTCCAGATTTTAGCAGCATGAATCTGAAAAGCAGCATCCCCATGTTTAGTTCTGACTCTGGGCACTAACAGGAGTCCAGTCCCTGTGCTCCTCAGAGTCCGGGCTGGTTCATATGGGACTAACATGTCACTAATATATTTTGGTGCGAGGCCATGGAGAGATTTGTACACAAGCAGAGCTGTTTTAAAGTCTATTCTCTGAGCCACAGGAAGTCAGTGACCATAAATATGTTTTATTTTATGTTGGATTATATTATACATTTATACCTGTTTCACAAATATAAAACAGAAACAAACAATATTAATACAATAATAATAGATAATTAAAAACGTGTACAGTTCTGTTCATAAAAACCATAACCATCCATCCATCCATCCATCCAGTTCAGTTTGTGTATGAACAGCTCTAGTTGATTGTTTTTTGCTCACTGACATTACTGACTCTGTTTGACACCAGAGCTAAACACACTTATTGAGTATGCATTGTGTAATTCTCGAGTGTGCCACAACAAGCGTACTCTATTTGAGCGGAGTATTTCCTCATACCTCCAGGCGTGATCCATTACAGAAAAGTAAGTAATGGACCACGTTTTCATCAGTCCTCAAACCATCTCCTTTTCAAATTTTAACATGACTTCTGGGTGGGAGAGTCGATCTGTTATGAGTGTGAAAGTTCTCTGTAAGAACTGAAACCTTGTGATTCACCAGGGGCTTTTAGAGGATGCAGATATCACAACAGTATTTGTTTGTGCTCACAGATCATTTATGACGAAGGACCGTTGTATATCTTTGCCAGAAATGAAGATATTCGTGCTCAGTGGATTGACACATTAAAACAAAGTATGTACACAATGTTTGTATTGACAAAAACAGCGGAGAGATGCTTCCTTTTGTACATATTAATCCATATAAAGTGGTATGAAAAGGTTTAGATTTAGGCACCCCATTCAAATGCGACAGTGGCTCAGTAGAGCATTGGCTTTTGTGTCACGTGGGTAAAATTAAATAATAATGGATTTAATAAAAAGTACACAGGGAACGAGGAGAAGAACTGAAACAGACGAGGAATGACAATGACGGAACAGGGCGTGAAGGGACACACAAAACTAACAAGACGCAGGTCATACGCGTGAGGGCGGGGCAGGTAATCAGACAGGAAGTACAACTAAAGAAGACACAGGGGTTAACAAATTTACAAAATAAAACAGGAAATAAACCTAAACCATGACACTGAAGGTTTTGGGTTCGAGCCCACCGCGAGACCTCCTCCACCGACTCCGCTGATGTCTGCTGTCGTTGGGCAAGACACTTAACCCACTTTGCCTATAAGGAGCGCGGAAGTAATGTTCGCTGCTTACCTTGATGTGTATATGTGTATGTGTATTCATCTAACTGATTCTTCTTCTTAAGGGATTGCCCTCTTTGCATCTTCTCTGAGGAGAGGCAACATGGGAGCCTCAAAATAACTCTCAAATTCAACGTCATGAGTTAGGGGAAGAATACAAAAAGCTATAATAGAGATCTAAGCTTTCAGTTTCAACTATTGCGCATTGTGAGGAAGGCACAGTTCTAGTTAAGGCCCCAAGTGGCAGAGCAAAAAAATCTCAGATATGCAGAGGCACAGAGTCAGAGTCTACCCATAGACCAGCTCCGAAGACCTACAACATCAGTTTTCTGCAGATGTTGATCATTCAACTATTCAGCGCACTTTCGACAAAGAGATGCTGAGAGTAATGTGGAAACAGCCGATCTCTGCACATGCCACAAACTGTATCACTTGAGATATGCTAAAGCACAATGGGACAAGCCAGCTTCATTTTGGAATAAGGTGCTGTGGACTGATTACACTAGACTAGAGAGTTATTCGGGCAAAAAAAAGGGGGAGAAAGAAAACACACCAATAAAAAACACACACTACCTACGGTAAAAATGTGGTGGTGGTTGCATACGCTGTGTGTCCAGTCCAACTTTTTCATATCACTGTACTTTTGATTTCACATTCTAGAACATGCATTTCCAAAGATATTTGTCTCAAAAGAAAATAATGCATAATATTTCTTCATTAAATGTCAAAAGTTACCCATGCTCACCTGAACATTACCCCTATGTGTGCAGTGGTGCATCACAATAAGGATCGGATGCAGAAGTACCATCCATGTTTTTGGGTGGATGGAATGTGGCTCTGTTGCCAACAGGAAGTTAAACAAGCCATGGGTTGCAAGGTCTTGGATGGAAAAAATGGTAAAAACATTTCACTGATTGTTTAAAGGTGCATTAGGTAACCTTTCTGGTCTAGAGTCTGCCACCTGCTCAATGTAAAATGTGTAAGTATTGTACTATTGTTGGAGAGGTGTATTGTTTTTTATATATATATTGGGGCTTCTAAAATGTAGCAAGATATTTGCATATAATAAACATTGTAATTAATAGATTATAACTATTTCAATTGATTCATTTTTCTATAATGGTCATGTATGCATTGTTGAAATGTTGAAAACGTGACATTGTGGTCTCCAGGCACTTCTCAGAGGAGAAAACCTCGAGTCAGAGAGAAACCTCTTCCACCAACACCTACAGAGGTACACCACAGCATGAAACACACACTGCTTGGTTTGGATAAAACTCATAAAGTCATGGTGTGAATCAGTAAGTTATGACTAGTGAAGATATGAACACAAAAGACTTACACGTATGTCTGATAAAAGTAGAATATTGTGAATAGGTGAAAAGCTAAGCAGGGAAGGACTTGGTATGTACTGTGATGGGAGACCTTTGGGAACACCAGGTGCCACTGTAGTGCAGCTGTAAAGTGCCAAACTCTTGGTTTGTCCTTAAGCAAGACATGTCACCTACATTGCCTGGAATGAGTCTGGTGTAATGCGTGAATGATTGGTCGGCAGATGGGCCGGTGCCTCATTCTAGTTGCCTCATTCTGTCAGTCTGGCCCAAAGCAGCTGTGGCTACAGAAGTAGCTTATTACCGCAGTGCATTGAGTGGGAGAATAATGCCATATGAAGCACTTTTGAGCGTCCAAAGGGATATATTAAACTGATGCATTATTATTATTATTATTAATAATAACTGTTTTAGTGCACTGCACAAATGATATGATAATAATAATTTGCAGAGTAAAATGTACTTTATTTATTACTCAAATGTTGACATGTCTGAAGGAGAAAGTTGCTCGACCGCTACCCCCAGAGCCTGCGGAGCCTTCAGGTCTGTCTGTGGGGATGACAGTGAGAGCAGAGTACGACTACAGCCCGATCACAGCACAAGATCTGCAGCTGAAGAAGAACGGCGAGTACACCATCCTCGAGATGTCCGATCCAAACTGGTGGAAGGCCAGGGACCAACTTGGGTGAGAAAATTATGCAAAAGATCTGTTGAAAGTGACTATAACAGGTTGATATATTAAAAACACGCTGTTTGCCTCAGAAGAAAGAGTCTTGTTGAATGTAATGTTTTGTGGACATATCAGACCACTAGATCTTATTAGAAAACATGTTATCTTTTACATACTGAGAGCTGATAGAGGGCTAGTACTGTGACAGAGGCCAAACATGTGGAAACTAGAGATAGAACCAAACAGTTTTATGAGCGAGAAACAAGTTATATGGAAGATCCAAATAATTGTTTTGTGGTTTCAAAGTTAAGTACTCCAGCTTTAATTTATTGAGCTAGAAGGATATTACATGAAGAAGATATTATATATTCAAATTCAAAAGTAGAAGTTTGTTATGAAGCTTTGAGTAAGTAACACTGGCCTTAAAATAATAGGCTATAATGCAGTTAGCCTACAATAATACACCACACTCAAAGTTATTATGCAATCTCAAGATGCTTTTTCATACTTTCTCATGTCCTTGTCAATCAGTCATTTCTGCTGACCAACAAGGAAGTTAGATTCAATATTCTTTCACATAAGGGAAATCTATGCAAATCTTTTATACCCATATACACATGTTTTACCTGCTGAATTATGCAGTCTATACCACCATGACGTTTTAAAGTGATTGTCTGGAGTTTGTCAGAAAGAGAGAGAGAGAGGCACTTGATTTGAAAAATACGACGCAAGCTCCCTCCCCCTTCCTTTCTGATTGGTCTACACCTATACGTTTCCAAAACATATTTAAATATTAATAAGAGAACACATTATACATACAGTATATATTATTATTACACATGCACGGAGGTTTTCAGAATTATTTTTTTACGTTTTCATGAAAAAACGTTAAATGCCCTTGGCATCACTTGATTGGTTACCGTGGATGGCATTGTGGATTTTGAGCTATAGCTAAGAGAAGGGAAGGCGGGACTTACCCGTAATATTAGAATTCATCAAATTATTTATTTTATTTCAACATTTAAGGCCAGGAGGTCAATTTACTACAATTCCTAAAATGTGTAATTAATTTAGAGTTACATACTATCACTTTAATTCAACAGAACGGTTCTTGGGTGGCATCTCTGATTGCCACCCCCCTGACCCAGAAATGGATTAAAGGGTAGAAAATGGATGGATGGATGGAGGGTTCTGATTAATTTCCTCAATAAACTGAAGTAGAATTTGATGTATTATTGGAAAAGAAAAATGATTTCGCTATAATACAAGAATATACAAATACACTATATACAGACTGGCACTGCGTATGCACACTGCAGACACAAATTAAAGCACCAAAGCATTTATGTAAGCTCTCATTATAATCACACTAACAATCATAATATTAATATGTACTTTGCAGAAATGAGGGCTATATACCTAGTAACTACGTTGTGGAAGCAAAAACTGGTTTGGAACAATATGAGTGAGTATCACGCAACGCAAAACCGTGTCATGCATGGAAATATAAACACAATGGCTTTTGCTTCTCTTTTTCAGCTGGTATTGTAAGAATATGAACCGTAGCCAAGCAGAAGCGCTGCTAAAGTCTGAGGTAAACCAGTCACAAATAATAGTTCAGAAGTAATCATTTGTTTTGACTTGTTTTGCTGTACACCATTGTATTTAGAACAAAGATGGTGGTTTCTTGGTTCGAGACTCAAGCAAGGCTGGGAAGTACACTGTGTCTTTATTCAGCAAGGGCGGAGGGTGAGACAAATATTTTACTGTCATATTTTGAACTTGTCAAAAGCAGAACTGACAGTGGGAACAGAGCCTCTCAGCAGGAGAGTCATGTAAATTAACTTTGCAAAGCAGGATCATAAAGTGAAGCTTTGTGGTCAAAAATACTTTCACATTTACACATGTAAATACTGGTGGCTTGTTTTGACACAGGGAAACCCAGGGGAGCTGCAAGCATTACAACATCTGCACCTCGTCACAGGGGCAGTTTTACCTGGCAGAAAAGCACAATTTTAACACTATTCCGGAACTCATTACCTACCATCAACACAATGCAGCAGGTCTGTACATCTGTCTGTTTCGTATGCGTGGGCTTTGGGGATTCAAATAAAGATGTCATCAAATGAAAGAATTCCCTTCTATTTGACTAAATATGCAAATATACAGTGTTCGAAATCCTCTTTGCAAATCCGTGTGGCTCCATAAGCAAATTACCATGTATTTTCTCTGATAGAACCTTCAAAGAATTGGTGAATTTACATTGTTTACGTACATTGTTACGTTACTGTAAGAATGTGTGTCTGTGTGTGAGGACATGTTATCGGATAATGACTATAATTTACCCAGAAAAACAACATACACCATTGCCAATGTCAATAGAGGAGGGGGCTGTCTCGGATCAGAACAGACATACTTTTTTTGTATAGAAGGTATATTTGTTGAGTTTTATGTTATAGGTATGGTCAGCAGACTCAAATACATCATATCCAACCGGGCTCAGCCACCGTCAACAGCTGGACTCGGCTATGGTATGTCACTTAATATGAGAAAGTGGGGGGTTTTGAATTGGCTGGGCAGATAAACCAGCCTATCTTTGTTGTGGTGGGGTTCTAGCCAGTGGAAGTAAATTTGGTACAATTCAATGTGAAAAAGATACTCAGACAACTTTGAATGTGTCATGTATGTTCTAGGTGTTTGGGAGATTGACCCGCGTTACTTGACCTTCATAAAAGAACTGGGCAATGGTCAATTTGGCGTGGTGAAATATGGCAAACTGCGAGGCCAGAACGACGTAGCCATAAAAATGATTAAAGAGGGTTCAATGTCCGAGGACGATTTCATTGAAGAAGCCAAAATAATGATGTAAGACCTTTTGTGTAAAAACAAATGACCAGTTTCTGTTAGACAAGCTGAACTTCCTTCTTCTTTCTGTCGCCCATACCAGGAAGCTGCGTCATGAAAACCTTGTGCAGTTGTATGGCGTGTGCACCAAACAAAGGCCCATCTATATTGTGACTGAGTATCTCTCCAATGGCTGCCTTCTGACTTATCTGAAGGAAGGGTTGACGCAGCATCCAACCACAGTGCAACTTTTGGAGATGTGCAAGGATGTCACTGAGGGCATGGCATATCTGGAATCCAAACAGTACCTTCACAGGGATCTGGTGAGATTAGATATTTATCAAAAACGCTTTGTGAATAATTAAACCTCAATGAAATATCCTTTGTCAATTCCTGTAGGCCGCCAGGAACTGCTTGGTAGATAGTAATGGCACAGTTAAAGTCACAGACTTTGGACTTTCCAGGTATTTCGTTTATATGTAAACCCAATATGCACATTCTCAAACTGTGCTACTATTAGCTTTACCACTGATGCTTCTTCTGGTGCTATACAGTCCTATGTGGTTTTCTTTGCCAAATAAATAGTAATTTTTTACCAGATGTTCTACCTTATTTGGATCTATTCTTGTTTAGAAATACCTACTAATTGTGTAGAATTATTTCAGATCAGTTCATAGGTTAGAATTCATGAACTGAGTTAGACCCAGATATGTCCGGTTTTGTAAGAAAAAACAAGAAAAAAGCTATTTGTCCTGTAGAGCATGGAGAGAAGACTATTATCTGTGTGTGGATACAAAAATTCTTGTCCTCTCTTTGGGAGGACAAGCATTTTCTGAGGTGGAACTTTCTATAAAAGGCTGGAGAAGCACACTAATAAAACATGTCTTTCCTCGATTGGTCTTCAAAGGTATGTGCTGGATGATGAGTACACCAGTTCGGAAGGCTCAAAGTTTCCAGTGCGGTGGTCTCCTCCTGAGGTGCTCCTTTACTGCAAGTTCAGCAGCAAATCGGACATCTGGGCGTATGGTAAAATTCACTATCAGTTACATTCATACAAATAAGGAAAGTCAGGCTATGTTTCAGAATCAGATAGTAACGTGCTATGTCCTCAAAGATTCTTAATAGGGTTGTATGAAACCCTAAGTGGTTCACTCATTTAATGCATAAACAATAAATTGTAAAATAGCTGAAGTTATTGTGACAAACACATGAAGTGTTATAAAATACAAAAATACAAAAAAACATTCAAAACATACAATTATTACTCTAATACACCCGTATTACATCACTACTATTACACCTGTAGTACACTATGCATCCAATAAACAAAAAGTACTACATAACGCTAAAAATATCACAAACATACCAAAATGCAATGAGTCACTCTGTTATGAAACCCTAACCCCCTAACCCAATGACAAAGGTTAAAAGTAAATGCAGTCCCTCAATAACTTCCAGAATTTCACACTTTTAGGAGTCTTAATGTGGGAGGTATACACGTTGGGAAGACTTCCATATGAGAGACTCAATAACACAGAAATAGTTGATCAAGTGCCTCGAGGCCTGCGTCTCTACCGCCCCCAGCTGGCCAATGAAAGAGTCTACAGCATTATGACAAGTTGCTGGCAAGAGGTATTTTATTGTGTTACATTTAATCCGTTTTTTATGGCAGCATGTGATGGAAAATGATTGATTGTGCATAATTTCAGAAAGCAGATGAAAGACCTTCGTTTCAAGAACTGTCTATAAGTATCCAAGACTTGCTGTATGAGCTTCAATAGTTACAATAGTTTTTGTCACAATTGTGTGCGTTTTTAATGACGGCCATGTTATCTTATGTGAATAGGATGTGAATATTTAAAGTTTAATTTTCAATAACATTGTAATGTTTCTACTTTGATGATGACCAATGGAAATAAATGTAAAATGCCAAATGAATTTTCATTTCAAAATATAAAGTAGTCTTAGTAATTGTAATAGTAATCCAGTTAGAAATATGAACTGTATAGTCATTTTTTTAATGGACTTGACATACAGACATGGATGAATATAGTCTACAGTCTATGAGACTACCGACCACCGAATAAACATTTCTGGAGGATCCTGATGGGAATAATATTAAAGTATTAAAGCCACAAAGACAGCATAAAATGGAACAAATGTATTTTATAAAAGAAGAAATATATAGTTGTATGTATAAACATACACACATATATACTCAAGTTTATTTCATTTATTCCATTTGACATTTTTCGGGAGACTTTTGCAAATTGAACTTCACGTTTTTGTTAATGCTGAAGGTTTAGGATTACAACATAACAAGTTAGACTTCAAACTCCAAATATTTGAACTTAAAAATATTAATCAGTACATGATCTGAAATGATACAAAATTACACCTTTCTTGTCCTCCCTTGTTCTTAAGTTTGATAAAGTAAAGACCTTTTAAAGACTTTGTAATATTTTTTCCTGCCAAGGCCATCGAAAGATACGTCACTAGAGCAAGCTCTTTGATTGGTTGAGTCATTTCCGGGTTCCTTCACCAACAAGCTGCATGCCTCACGTGAAGGTCAGTTTTCTGCAAAAATACGGTCCAGAGTCGCAGATTTCTGAGCAATTTCAGCAATATGAACGGCCAAGGAGGAGCAGCAGACCCACAGCTTCAACATTTCATCGAGATTGAGTCTCAAAAACAGCGCTTTCAACAACTCGTTCACCAAATGACAGAGGTCTGCTGGGTAGGTGAAGCTTTTTGCTAGTAGTAGCTGAACATGCAGTCCACATTTTAGTCTATTTCCACTTTCTGCGAATCACTTAATGGAAATCAAAATGAGATTATTTGATTGTATTTCATTACAATCAGTTATTCTTTATTCAGAAAATTACTAGTATAGATTTCTTTGTTATATATTTAGGGACAATTCACATTGATAAATATATGTGCAAACGTAATTTAATGTTAAATATATCAGTTTATAGGAACAAAGCAATTTTTAGGTTGTTCATCACAACTAGTAACACAAAAATATATTCCTAATCCTCTATTAATCCTTGTGCTATCCTCAAATTGACCCGTGATTGAAAACTTAAAGCCACCCTGTGTAATTTTTACAGTTGCTCCATATGAAAAAACATGTTAACTAATAACAAATGTGACCTTTTTAAGATTATATACCTCCATGTTTTTTTAATTGTTTTCGTAGGCTTAGAATTTCACTTATAAATGTCCATGAGAGAGGAGTCCTCCCGGTGTCAATGCGCCATCTTGAAATACAGTGGTGGATAAAGGACAAAAAAAATGTGCGAATCGCGTTTTTGTTTCACATGAGCTACTGATATCGTTGCTTTGACCGTGCCTTCACAAGTTTGAAGAAGCAACCATTGAAGACCACAGCTTATTTAAAAGAACCATGGAGGACCACAGTTATGTACAAGAACCATTGAGAACCACAGTTATGTAAAAGACCGACCCGAACATCTTTTCGAAAAATAATTATGCAAAAGTGGGGCGACAGTAGCTCAGTTGGTAGAGCACTGGCCTTTAGGCCTGAAGGTCGTGGGCTCGAACCCACGACCTACTTCACAACTCCCACTGACAGCTGTCGTTGTGTCCTTGGGCAAGACACTTACCCCCACTTTGCCTGAAGCCCCCGCTGAAAGATCTCAGCTCCTGTGGACTCACCACCTGCAGGAGGATCAGTGAGGGGCTGGTGCTCTGTGTACTGGGTGCAGCTCTGACTGCATAATCACATTTCAGTGTGATTATGGCAGTGGGCGAGCTCCCATGATGCGTTGTGCCAAATACGCGTGTGTGGCTTTCATGCTCATGCAGAGGGGCTCGGCCGCACTCTGATCAATCAACATTGCTGATCAGAGCAGCAGTAGAGGGGAGTCAGAGCGTAAAGGAAACAAGCAGAGTTTGTGGCAGTAAAGTGTGGATTTAAAGAAAACCGAAGAATTTAAGAAAAAAAAAAGTTCAGGATGACAAGGGACACTAAAATCCCAACAAAATCCGATCTTTATGAAAGCTGTAGGTTCTCTTTCAGCTGAGGTCGAGCTGTTTTAGTTTACATTGAGATCTATGGGACTTTTTTTTTGGGTAGCCCGCGTGAATTTAGTCTGCAGTACCACGGGCATCCCCTTTGCCCATGGGTGGGACATCTATAAGCTAGTGATACCCTATCCAGTTGTTATTATAGACACTAAAGCTAACATGAGCTGCTTCTCTGATCATCGTAGTTATAAGCTCCCGCAGACGTTAATCCATGCGTCTCTTCTATTCACACCGCATTTGTAAAACTATATATTATAATAGATCCATGGTAAAACTCAATAGAGCCTTTGTGCAGCAAGTCCCGCTTCAGAACACTGTCTTGTTTACCTGTCGCCTCCACGCAACTGTCAAGTGCCAGAGATGTTTGGAGTGATCCGGTCATTTATCAAACTAAAGTATTTCCTTGGCAGTCTGGTGAATGACTGAGAGTTGAGGAGCACTGTCAAAGACACATTATCTATCAAAGGCTACAGTAGTATCTTGGACTGTAATATAAGATCTCAATGCTTGATAGCACTAAAAATTACAGTGTACCTTTAATTCAATGATTGTTTCCCAACGTGATGTGCCCTGGGTCATTTAGACCCTTTTAATGACAATCTTCAGGGTATTTTTCTCTGGAGGGTTTCTTTGGCCTGAGGGTAGTACAAGGGTTAAACTGAACCCCTGCTTTGTGGACACCAGACTCGAAATGACACAATTCAAAGTGGCAGTCATGATCATGGGGGGATTAATTGCTATATTTTATAATTTGCTTGTGTTGTTTTTATTCTAGGAAAAGTGTGTGGACAAACCAGGCCCCAAGCTGGACACAAGGACTGAGATGTGCCTTGTAAATTGTGTGGAGCGATTCATTGACACCAGCCAATTTATATTAAACAGACTTGAACAAACTCAGAGGAGCAGGGGCTCTCTTTCAGAGACAATGGTCGAATAAAGGACTCACACAATTCTACTCATCTTGATCCAACCAGTGGGTCTGTATTCAGAATTCTTTGTCTACAAGAACCACCAACATGTCCATAAAACAAGTGCCTGACAATGAGGGTCGGTCTGGGAAACCCCACTGGGCCATATGGATAAATCTGTGTGAGACAAGTCATATTGTGACATTAACAAAGAGCTGTAATGGAAAGTTCAAGTTTATCGTTTGATCTTTTACAGGAAATGCTATAATATTCTAGGTACATCAACTACTTGTGCCACATTAGAAAATAAGTTTGAGTGCATATGACAGGATTGTATTTCTAATTTTTAACTTATTACATTAATAACTGACATCAAAAGAGGGAGACTCACAGATAATCATTAATTTATGCATAATTTACTACAAATTCATTTTCAGCACTTAAATGATCCGCTCCATTAACTTTGTTTTTTGTAATTTAGAGCATTTGGAAAAAGTAACGTCTGAACTGTCATATGCACTTAAGCATCAAACCAATGAAAATCATGTTTTTATTAATATTCTGTGCAAGCCTGTAAAGTAGAATGACAATGACTTAATGTCAATAACTCAATGTAAGAACACTGCTTATGTAATAAATCTGTAACAAATGCTAAATATTTTGTCATTAAAAAACGACATCATCTTGAAATATATGTATTTAGAGTTGGCAGAACAGAACAGCATTGTGGATAAATATTGCTGTGATTTCATCCATTTGCGTTCACATCTCTGGTCAGTTTGGAGTCGTCTTCAGTCAGGATCTCGTGATTGGGGACAACTGCGTACGAATGTCTACAAGGAAATATGTGAGGGCTCATTTTAATGAAGGCTGGCAGAGAATCCCATGTAAAAGTAATGTCCTTAAAAGCATGCAATAGGAAAATGCCAATTATAATGGTGAGGAAACCACTGATCGTTCCGAGAACTCCATCTGTGGTCATTTTTAACCACTCTTTAAAGAGGATGGCAGAACAGGCCATGACTGACGTAGTGAAGAAAACGTAATAAATTGGCGTGACAATTGAGGTGTTGAAAATGTCAAGGGCTTTGTTCAAATAGCTGATTTGAATAGTTATACATAAGACCAGGCAAATAATTAATGCCCAAAACAGTGGCTCCTTTAGCACGGCAATACCGTCATACAATTCTTTAAAGCCAATGCCCAGGCCTTTTACGCATGACACAGACAGCGAGCCAATCACAGAGCAGATAAGGATGTAAACCAGGACGTTCTTCTGTCCATAACGAGGTGCCACAGCAAACATGAGAATCAGGGAGCTTCCCACAACACTTACAGCATACACGATGAAACCTAATGATGAAAACACATGTAACACATTTGTAATTCATACATATGGTCACACACACATGGTCTTCACCTGGATCTTTGAGCTTCTCAGCCATAGCGCTGAGTGAAGAGACTTCCTCCTCTTGTGGTGCATGAACAACCATCACTGTGGAGCCTATGATGCAGAGTAAGCAGCCCATCTTCCCATGCACATTCAACCTCTCATTTAGACAATATGACGAGAGCACTGCACTGTACGAAAACAAAGATTCAAGAAAAGAGACCAGTTTGAGAAGTGGAGTCATGGAGTAGTGCATGTCTTAGCATTTCTCACCTCACAAGTACACTCAGTGCTCCCAGTGGTGTAACTAATGTAGCAGGGGCAAAAGCATATGCAGCAAAGTTAGCTGCTTCTCCTACTGCCACTGGAGACAAAAACACAAAATGTAGCCTGCTGGAACAATCCAAATTATAGACAAAGTTGACTTCTGCAACCTTTCTTATAAATTGTTTCTCACTGTGCCCCACATCCATGGAGTGAGGTTCATAGCAACAAAAGACTGAACTGCTTCAAAATGTGTTTTGCAATGTAATGTATCCGCTTACAGGGTCCAACTATATACAGTCTATGGTCCAACACAAGTACTGTATTCTGAATACTTGGAATACTTTTATGTGCATATAATTATATTGTAAATGTGGCGATTATCAAAACAGCTTGTCTATACACTTTTTTTTTTTGAGCATCTTGTTATGTTGTCTTGTTATGGCACGATCCAATACTGAAATGTGATTATGCAAACCTTTTTGGGAACTATAACCACCAAAATAAAGCGTAACGTATTCTGAAAAAGCAACAACATGCCCACAGAGGCAGACAGGTTGTGGGCTTTCTTTTATAAAATGTTACACCATGCAGCTTGAAACACTTACTTGAAATGAGTCCTGCCCACCAAAGCCATTCCTTCAGATAAGCATAACCTCCGTGTGCTATAAAGAATCAACTGAGTTAAGCTAAGTCATCTTTTTCGCATTTCTATGTGAAAAAGTGTTAAAAGTCATGGATGACAGACAGCTCTTCGGTTGTGTACCTGCTCGCTGCGATCCATTCCTGGCCAGTCGCAGAAGTCCTTTCTTTTTCAATATGAAACTTGCACCAATAAATAAACTGGAGCTGACAGCCAACGAAAGCCCGATGTAGAACTCATTTTTGTTCACCTCCATCTGTCAAGCAAACATACAAATATTTTACAACCAAAATACTGAAAAAGTTGCATTATAAAAAAAAAAGTTTAGCTAACATTCAGAACCAAAGTTAGCGTTTTGGGTCAAGGTAACTCAACAGAACATAGTAACAACAAGGATATTAAATCCACAAATCCATAGATTACAGAATATGAACGCGCCTATTTCACGCGAAATCAACGGTTTACCTCTGCACTAACGTCGACTCCATTCGTTTGTCAGATCATGAGACAAGCAGGTGATTGGCTCCGGAGGAAACACTAGAGCGATCATCACTATGGAAACCTGTAGTCAAAGCTTGGGCATCTATTTCGCCCTGAAGACTTAAAATAAATATTTTTAAAAGGAAAAGAACAACATCTAAATCATCATAACTTCACACAATCCATCAATGATTTTATTATTCTTCAATAAAAAAGGTTGGTATGGAATAATGTGCTTATATATAATTATTATTATATTGAGTTAGTTCTGAAAGAAACCATTCGTACTCTCTGCCTGTTTAATTAATAGAAATGTACATCCATGACCACAGTTATACCGGGAGGAAACTACATTCATTCTACCAACAGTCTATGATTCTACCGGCCACGCTTCATGGTTATCATTGGTTTTGCTTTTCCTGAATACAAAAGATGGCCGCCGTGAAAGCCTGTCACGGCACAGACTCTATGTACTCTTTAGTGTACTCGTCATCAGATTACACCAAGTATTTTTGTTGTGTATTGTTATATCATCTACTGCATAGAAATTATAAACCGTTTATTAAAATATTTATCACTAAACAACAGCTGGCGCAAGCTTAAAGTCAGCGGGGCTTCACTTTTCTGATTGGATGTTAGCCAATGACGAACGCGGAAGAAGTACTAACCTTCACCCCAAAACAAATCATGTGGCATTTCTATAGATTAGCTATACACGATTGTAAAACAGGATTTTAAAGAAATGCTGGTGCAAATAAACATCCGATGATTGTCCGTCTATAATTGGATATCGATTGCTTTAATTCTACGGGACTTAATTGCCCAAAAAGATGAAGATTCTCAATTTCCCAATTTCAAGAGCTTGCAGGTCGTTACAGAAAATACAGCAAATCCAGTGTTCACCGTCCCTCATAAAGAGTCAGAGGCATTATAGCTCCAATGTGAGTCAAGAAAATGAAAAGAGTTTTTATATCACTACCCCCATCTTCTACGTAAATGCCTCTCCTCATATTGGACACTTGTACTCAGCTGTTTTAGCAGACTGTCAAAGCAGATACAAACAACTTCGGGGATTCAGGACTACTTTTTCCACAGGTAAGAATGCCATTAACACCAAATTATTATTTTATACAATGATCGATTTATATTTTTTACCTACTAGTCAAATCGTTTAAAATGTACCTTCTCTAATGATTTATTTTGTTATAGGCACTGATGAGCACGGCTTGAAAATTCAACAAGCTGCTGAGATTGCTGGGGAAAATCCTCTTACCTTTTGTACTGAAGTGTCAGAGAAGTTCAAAACTCTTTTCAACACATGCAGTATATCATACACAGACTACATTAGGACCACAGAGCAAAGGCACCGCGTGGCTGTGGAACATTTCTGGTCAGTGTTGAGAAACAGAGGACTAATTTATAAAGGGAGTTATGAAGGCTGGTACTCCACACAAGATGAAAGCTTCCTCACACCATCCCAGGTTGGAGAAGTCATAGATTCTACAGGAAAACATATGATTTCTTTGGAAAGTGGCCATAAGGTAAGATGGTCCTATGCTGTGCTCAAAAAAAATCTGCATTTAAATTAAAACATTTGACCAACTTTGCAGGTGGAGTGGATGAAGGAGGACAACTACATGTTTCGCCTGTCAGCGTTCAGACATAATCTTTTGGACTGGTTGAAAGCAAATCCCAATGCTGTAAGACCTGAACGCTTTTATAACGATGTTGTCCAATGGCTCAGAGATGATCTCCCAGACCTGTCTGTTTCTCGTCAGAGAAGCCGGCTGCAGTGGGGTATCCCTGTTCCCGGAGACCCTGACCAGACTATCTATGTGTGGCTTGATGCCTTAGTTAACTATTTAACAGTTGCTGGATATCCTGGAAATTATCAACAGTGGTGGAATGTTGCACATCATGTCGTTGGAAAGGATATTCTGAAGTTCCATGCCATTTACTGGCCAGCTTTTTTATTAGGGGCTGGACTACCCTTGCCTCAGACCATACATGTGCACTCACACTGGACTGTGGGTGGCAAAAAGATGTCTAAAAGTCTAGGTAATGTGGTTGATCCTCTTGACCGATCAAATCTGTTCACTACTGATGGTATGAGGTATTTTCTATTACGCCAAGGTGTCCCTGATTCAGACTGTGACTATACAGATGATAAAGTGGTAAAGCTCCTAAATGCTGAGCTGGCAGATTCTCTTGGTGGTCTGCTAAATCGCTGCACAGCCCCTGCACTAAATCCTGCACAAATTTACCCCTTGTTCTGTCCAAGGTCATTTCCCTTTGAACCCACAGAGCAAAGCCGAGCAGTTTCTGAGGACTACCAAATGTTGAGCGCAGTTGGAAACCTGTCCTCTACAGTGGAGAAGTATTATGAGGACATGCATGTGTACAAAGCACTGGAGGCAATCAATGCATGTGTGAAGCAGACAAACGGTTTTGTGCAGCGCCATGCACCTTGGAAGTTAAGCAGAGAGAACATGGAAGAAAAACTCTGGCAGGACACCATCATACATGTAGCACTTGAATGTCTGAGGATTTATGGTTCGCTGCTTCAGCCAGTGGTTCCACAAATATCAAACAAGCTCCTGTCCAAATTAGGAGTCAAGCAAAGTGAGAGAAGCCTGACCTCCCTGAATTTTTTGCCTCGATTTTATGGGATGGATAGTCCATTTGAGGGAAGAACTCTAGATAAAGACACTGACGTGCTTTTTAATCGGTTGGAAAGGAGTTCTGTGAAGGGAACAAAACCTCAAAAGTTCAAAAAGACAAAGCGTGTCTAAGATGTGTGCACCATTTATGTTAAATGTCAGGTGAATAAAAACCCACAGCATCACAAGATAAAACTGGCATGATTATTTAATGAGAAATACACAAAACTGAGAAAGAATGTACAAATTGAAATAAAATAAAAATGAATTATTCTTATATCTAGACTTTTTTTTTTTTTTTTTTACATAGGTTTCTCCGATATTATCCATTTACTTCACAGCTGGACCAATTCTTCCAAAAAATGTATAACCTTGGAAATTTGCCTCTGCTCAAAACGGCACTGATCTTCCACAATTCATTGTTCAACCACCCAACTGTTTAAAATGCATGATAAGAATTGTTGCTCTGGCCGGGTTGAGAGTCTGCGAATAAGAAAATGTAGATGTTAGAATAATCCAGCATGTATATTGAAAATATGGACAATAAATGACTCACTGGAAAGCTGCTGTTGTAACTGTCTGACCAAGGCTGCAGTTTGTTGCTGTTGTTGAGTCTGTTGCATCCCCTGTCTCTGAAACTTGAGAAGCGTACATTTAAAATGACTCAGTAATTTCACAATGTGTAACATCATTTGGAAAATTATACTTCCAGGTTGGACGTAGATGTCAAAATAAGAGGCAGCAATAATAAGGCTTAATATGGCTATTAAAAGCACAGTGCAATGTTGTGTAAAAGTTCCTTTTGTGCTCGTCTGTCAAAATTGACCCTAAAAAGTGATAAATACCCTGAATTATTATTAAAGAGTTTATTTAGATGAATTTTGATGACTTTTCCCAACTTGACTGGCCATGGCTCGTTTAGACCCTTTTAGACCTGAATGGGTCAGAGCAACCCAAAAGGCTAGGATAGAGTTAAGCTCATTCGGGTTTCTTGAAATGCCACTTAATATATTAGAAGTTGTTCAAACCTGCCAAAGAAAATGCACCCTGCCACACCGACCTAAGTATAACCAAGGACAAATCTATTGTCTCATTATAATCTTCACATAAACAGAAACTACTATATCATAAATGTTACATTCCTCGTATTTAGTTTGAGGACTGTCAATGTCACATGCAGCAGTCTAGAAGCTCGACTTTGCATGGGTGGTGCATCCATTATATGTTATACTTGACTATGTCCTTCCGAAATCAGTTTATGGTTAGAGTACCTTTAGTGTAAGCATTATCATACCATGGACATTGTGTATTGCTACATCCCTAATTAGATTTAGGTTTGTTGGATTAGGGGAGAAGTCTCTGCAGAAGGGCCTAAGGATGATCAATAAACTAAGCATACGAAACATACCAAAGGTTGCATGCCCAAGCCCTGGTTCTGTGCCTGACCAGGAGGGGGCACTGCAGACACCTGCTGCTGCTGTGGCACCTGCTGCTGTGGCACCTGCTGTTGAGGCTGCACCTGCTGCTGTTGTTGCTGCTGTTGTTGCTGCTGTTGCTGCTGCTGCTGCTGCTGCTGCTGCTGTTGCTGTTGTTGGACTTGTTGTTGTTGCTGCTGTACTTGTTGTTGCTGCTGTTGTACTTGTTGTTGCTGCTGTTGTACAGAAGAGAACAGTGAGTGGTCATTTTGTTAATCACCAATTTGTCCTGCATTTCCCGGCATGAAGCACTCACTCTGAGAGCTTGTTGTTGTCTGAGGTACTGCTGCTGCTGTTGTGCTGCAGCCACTTGTTGCTGCTGTTGCTGTTCTGCGAGCATCTGATTAGACGGCCTGATGTTGGGATGGATGCCCTGACCTCCCATGTGACTAAGGCCATGCATTACGGGATTCTGCTGCATAGGCTGATGACTAAACCTGAAATTAGACAAGTATGTTAACAAGATATGCATACACAAGCTGTACTACTACTACTACTACTACTACTACTACTTCTACAACAAAGAGATCCTTGTAGCAGAGGGTCTTTGTAAAAGTTATCCAAATGTTGGGAATTTATGGTCGGAGAACAGGACACTGGTTTTGATATGGACCCAAGTACCGCCCCTTCCCATCCCTTTGACACAGAACTTGAACCGACGCACAGAGGCCCTGATTAATAGACAAAAGGTGGACTGACCTCTGGATGTTATGGGTGTAGTTTGGCGCCTGCTGGTGAACATAACCACTGGGTCTCGGCTGCATTTGCCGAAGGGGATCTACCATGGGCGGGTTGGCTCCAGGATGACTGCCCTGGAAGTTCTGGTTTCCATAAGAAGAAGGGACCATCCCACCGCCCTGAGGAGGGGGGTGCTGCATCCCCATGTGTGTTCCATATGAGGTGTAGCCTTGGGATATATTCTGAAAACAGACAAACGTTTTAACAACATGAAATTAAGTATTAAGGAAGTGAGATATTAATTAAACTGCTTACCTGGTTAGCTTGCATTTGGCCATATTGTTGGTTAGGATTGATCTGCCTCATCTGACCCATCACATTGTGATTCTAAAGTTATACAAGAGCCAGAAGAGCCAAACAGGTTAAATCAGATGAGATTATGTGTTATGTATACTTGTGTTTTTGTTTTATCATGTAGTAGTCATGTGTTGATAGGAATAAAAGTGTGTGACCTCACCAGTCTGACCTGTAGCTGGGCCCTCAGCAGCTGTTGCCCACTGGGCTGAGGCTTGTATCCCATTTGATACTGTTTGTCCATTCCCATCATGTTGGGCATGTTAGCCTGCATGCCTGGCATCACAACTGGGTAAGTGGGCCGAGTGGGCATCATCTTGTTGATCTGAGGGTTGCGTGGTGGTCTGTATGGAGGATCTAAACCAGGGCCACCTATACAGGGTAAAATGTAATCAATAAATCATCAATCAATGTAAACAAACAGCTGACATCAGCACTTATCGCCCACTAACCTGGAGGCAAAGGCTGGTTCTGAGTGTACATGCCCATGGTCTGCTGGGGGTACTGCATCCTGGCATATGGAGACTGCATCATTTCTGTTGGCATACTTGTTCCATACGGGACACCACTGGGAGGACGGTTGTAGTCCTAAGAAGGATAAAACTAAGAGTGTAAAGAACTGAAGACAATGAGGGGTTCATGAAGAGCTGCCTCACCTCAGTCTTGTTTGAAGGAGTCTTCTTTTTCTTGCTTGGCTTCTTTTGTTTGGAATCAGAAGTAACATTAGGAACATTTTTTTCAGACTTCCCGGCCTCCATCATTTTCTTATCAGGTTCTTGGGAGACAGGAGTTAAAGGCTCTTCTTCCTCTGGTGGAAGGGGGAGGGGCTCCAGGTAGTAGCTTCGTGGTTTTGGTTTCAAGTGAGTGTGATAAAGCAACAAACGCTGCTGCTCTTCAAATTTAGTCACTTTACGATCAACACGCACTGTCCCAAACCAGCCCCAGGAGAGAGGAGCGGAGTGTTTGAGCCCTTCAAAAACATCCCACGGAGAAATCTTCTGTTTTGTAGAGACTTGCAGACCCTAAAAAACAAACAGTTTCATTAGCCAGTCTCAAGTTATACAGTATGTATTTTACAAATTAATCAACATTTACCTCTTTTTCAAAACCAGCTATTTTGTTTCCCTTGGTGTCGATTAGAGACCCCTGAGGCTCACAGGTTATCACGTCACGAGTTTGTTTAGGCAAGGGCAAAAGCTGACGAACCTTTTCCAAACTTTCAGATTGGCGATCAGCAAGCTCTTTCTAATAACAAGAAGTCAACATGAGGGAAAAAAAAAATAGGAATCATTCTTCATTTCCGTAACAGTGACAGTTTCTAAAGTGTGAGTTTACCCTGAGTTTTTTGACCAGATTCATATAAGCCCTCTTATTCTCCTCCATGCTCCCTTGTGAGATACTGGACATGTCTGCAGCCAGAGTGCCATTAATAAGCACACTCAGCATGTCCAACACTGTTGTGAACAGTTCACTGGAGGAGACACACATGAGGTGTTAAATGTCCCAATGTCTTTCTAAAACAAAAATGGTCTAATTAAAACATACTTATTCGACTGCATGTCCACGGTGCCACTGCTGATGATGTCCAGGAGTTGAACGGCCCACTCTGTTGTCTGCACAGTGCTGCGCTGCACTGTGTCAAACATACCGCCCACCTGATCAACACCACAACATCCATTAGACTACTATAGCTTAACTATAAAGGTTGCTGCAGTTATTCAGCAGCGAGGGGTTGGGAAGCCAAATCCTGAAAACTTGGAGCACTCCAACTACATCATGTGGGCATTATGGGAAAAATAATCCTGCCCCACAAAAATATAAGTAATGAGGACACAGATTTGAATGGAACGTAATATCAAATTAAATAAATGCATTAATTGAAACCCAAATGTAATTGATTCCTAATAAATCATAATTTCACATCATCATAACATTTTGACCAGTGCAGAGCTCTCACCAGATTGAGTCGTAGTTTGAGAGCCTCGTGCATCATCTGCTTGGCCTTGCAGTCGTCCTGGTACTGGTCTTCTCTCCAGTTGGTGACGATCTGCTGCACCTGGCTGTAGAGCGAGGTGAGCAGCCCCTCCCTCTGCTCATCCTGCCCCTTTAGACACGTCAGCACCAGGGACAAAAAGGGCTGCTGGCTTAATAGAGACATGCTGTTGGATGCAAAACACCATTAGGATTAATCTCTCTGGGCCAGGGCCTACACTGCAAGGTCAATGTCTAGAGTTATACTTTCATTAGACACAGTGAAATTATTTTCTCCTGAATCCAGAACACATTCTATACACCGACCTGTCTTTATGCATACGTTTCCCTAAATGTTTCATACATATTTTTAATGTATGGATTTCAGTAGTGTGCTGTCTCTTATCCACTTTCCGGGTTCCACCTTATGTCTGTTTCACATCACATTCCTGAAAACACTTCTAAAGGGTTAAATTACAGCTGAACAGAATCTGTTTTTGCTGAAATGTAGCTGAAAGTAGATCATATGGACAGTGATGCTAATGAACAAACAATATATATAAAAAAAGTATACATATTAATGGATAACCTACTATTAGCAGCTTGCAAGAATATTCTAATACAAATGAATACTACTTAAAACAATGCAAAAAGTGACAAAAACCTCTTCTGTTTCCGCCTGTCGCGCTCTTTGCTGCGGTGTTGTCCTTTCTCCAGCTCTTCTCCCGCCGCCTTCAGCACGTGGCCTTGGACAGTGGTGGGGAGTTTGGCGATCAGCGGAGCCACGAGCCACACGCCTGAGCGCTCCGATGAGCTGAAGCACCAGGTGTCAAGGTTATTAAACATGGTAAACATTTTCTGCAGTGCTGGGAAGACAAACCTGAGGATGGGTTTCATTTTGCTCGTAGTGTTGCTGGTGGAAGCTGCAGAGCCCCCCTGCCCCGCGGATCCATTTCCTGAGGGGTTATTGGAGTTCATCATCTCTGCAGATTTTTGAAAGACCTCAATCGTGGCCTTAGCGATGTTCTCCAGCAGCGAATACAGCTCCTATTTCAACAGTTTATCAACACTTTATGTAGAAAAGTAATAGACATAAAAATACTCAATACTTACATTCATTACATCTTTCATTTCAACACTTACATTGTTGGAGCTCTGTTTGATCATCAGCTGTAACTCAAGAGATGACTGTCTCATTGTCCACTGGTCCATGTTCTATGAGAGGAAACAACAATTTTACCCTCACACATTATAAATATCATATGAATGATAAAGAGATCCTTTATTTGTCCCACAGTGCGGACTTTTCAGTGTTGCATTACCAGTTATAGAACAGTAGGAATGAGTAGCACAAAATAAAAGAATAATAACTCCAAAAAAATTCTAACTAGCATAAAAATTAAGTATAAAATCTATATCTTTAGTATAGAGAGTAAAAAAAAGCATAATAATGGGGAAAAGTACTCAAAATTACTCCATATAAATAGGAAGCAAACTCCCATATATTTAAATCACTAATACAAAACTAGAAAAACAAATATTTCCATTGGTCAAAGACCAATGGAAATATTGATTTCCCCCACTGTTGTCACTTAATACGTCACCAAAAGAGGGCAGCAAACCTCCACATGACGTGTTCTCGCTCTACACACATTATGGGCAGTGAGGTATGGCAGGTTTTGTGTTTGGGCTAGACCTGGAGGATTCGTTTGATGCGCTGCCTCTGCGGGTTGTCTCCATCATCGCTGTCCAGCTGCCGGTGGGGGTAACAGATGAGCTGCAACAGCCTCTGGGCCTGGATGTTTACAAGAACCGGGTCCTGCAGGGCACTACTATCCTCTGAAAGAGACTTCAAACAGCGCTCTCCAACCCATTCCTTTAAAAGCAACAAGCAGATAGAAAACACCACGTGAGGAAAACGCAGTCAGTGCAGAGTTCCACTGTTTTTAACTTCTGTTAAATTAAGAAAATAATGTGGATGCATATATTTCAGGGCTGCACAAATGTGTCACAATGACCAATGATGATTTTACTGACACATAACATAATTATTTTTTACAATAAAGTTTAAAGATTAGGATATTGTTTAAACTTCAAATTGCAATCAACCACCAAGTATGAATTGACAAATGTCAAAGAGATGCAATCGAAGGCTTTCAGATAAAAATGACTTGCTATTACTACTTTCAAATTGTGAATCTTGCTGCTGTAATGCTAAGGATAATCATAATGATTCTCGCACCTGCTGACAGATGGTCTTCAGAACATATTTAGCGTAAACATCCAGACTGGCAGTTTCAATCGAGACATTGCGTCCTTCGGAAATGTCATCGAGGCCAGTGTTATGAGAGAGCACGGAGCCTCTCAGTTCTGCATCACCTTTAATACATATTTTTGCCATTAATATTTCAATTTTACGCAGAATCATACAAACTAGGGTTGTGAAACTTGCCGAGCATGAAGACCGCTTTCAAAACAGCAAACACTGCCCCGACCACAATGCTGTTCTGAGAAGCAGCCAGGAGGTGTCTGTCGCAAGACGATCTGATGCCGACAGATGACTTGTCTGAAAGGGAAGTCAATACGTTATATTGAGCATGTTGGGAAACATACAGAAAGATTATGTACACAAACGTGTTTTCAATTACCAGATTTGATGCCATCTTGAGGGACTGGGTTGCGTTGAGGTGTTTTAAACAGGTGCAGAAGAATCCGGCAGGTCAGTCTTGCTCCTGGCTCAGAATCTTGTTCACTACACGCTGTGTGAAGGAGAAAATGTTAGAATTGGTTCTGGCTGCAAAGACCACATGATGTCCACAGGAGAAAGTAGCTCCTGTTCAAGTGATTTTTTATGAAAGCTTGTGTTACAAATAATGAAACAAAGAAAATGAATATCCAAACCAACCCAAAGTGCTTCACATTTCGTGTATTGGCATCTATCGACTCATTTCAACACACACAAAAAGTGGGCAAGAATAAAAGTCTCACCTGCATTAAGAAGAGAGGGAATAGCCACACAGCGAACCAGGTCTTCAAGAAGTAAACACTGTCTAGCAATCAGAATCGCTACGAAGGTCGCCAGAGAATCGTGAAATGATAAATCGCTAACCTGGAGTAGAAGATCCAAATTATTCAATCAAAGTAAAATGACACAATTCAATCTAAACAAAGTGAAGTAAAATGCGTACATCAACATTACAAAGCAAATCATTGAATCCACAGTTTCCGTTGTTGGACGAGCAGCACAAAGCCTTAAGAACTCCGAGCCACTCAGCGCTGAGGGTTCGACAGTACGCAGTAAGCTCCGCACAGAGGATCCCGATATCATTAACCCTGCACACAGAGGTCAGAGATTGTTATAGCACTTTGAAGTTTTCATGTTTTAAATTTAACATCAACATAAATCACTGTAATATGGTGACAGGCAAAACAAACTGTAGGATTATGCTAAATCAGAGCATTGAAAACATCAAACAAAAGACAGTGAAAATGTGAACACTCTTTCAGCATACCTCTCTGGGTCTCTGTGATCTACACAAACGTCCATAAGAACATTGCAGACAAAGCTGTAGCGGTTGGCAGAGCTTTCGTGCAGAATCTTGCCCACCATTGAGTGGTTGAAGTTATTGGCTAGGGGATTGGCAATGGCCTCCATCATAAAGACTGGGTCCCACAGCATATTTGAGTCTGATGGTTCAATGTTGCAGTAGATCGAGATCTTCACTCTGGAACAAAACTCACTGAAAGAAAGGTATAGTCAGTTTTCATAAGTATGTGCAGATCACTTTTTATTCAAATGCGCAATTAAATTCTTATGTCAAACCTGAAAATCTCCCCAAACTTGCTCTTAAGGTGACTGCAGGAGGTATAGAGGTCATACAGATAGGCCAAGATGCAGCGCTCAGCAGAGGAGCAGTCTGCTGGATTCACTCCAGATTTTACCACAATGCGCAGTCTGGAAAAAGAGAAAAAGGTCTATAGATATAGAAACTATAGAAGCATGTAAAACTGCAGACTTACCCATCAAAAACAGTTGCTGCCTGCTCAGGGTTGAGAATGAGACAGGAGTGGTATCTCCGAAGGACAGCTACAATGCACAGGCAGAGGTTGGTGGTGTAGCTGCCCACCAGAATGGAAGACTTGAGGATCAGCTCTGCTTCCACTAGACTTAACTCATTTAAAATCTAAAATGAATCCATAAATTCAGTCAGATAAAGTAGACAGATTGGACAGAAACTAAAACGTAGTTGGACCCATAACGTACCTGAATAGCATAGTCTATGAGGCCACTAATGTTGAGAGAGTACTCCATGAGGTCAAAGATGAACTGAATGTGCTGCACAAGAGGCAGGTGATAGGACATCCCTGAGGCAAAGCTGGTGATCTGTTCAAATGCATTTTTGAACACCTACAGCAGCAAAGAACATGAATCATTTGAGAATGAAAACAGAAACAAAGACAGCCTATCATCCTTGTCTATAAAAGATGTCTGAAAAGGTTCCCACAAAAGTTACCCACTATTCAGCAAACTAAGACGTTGCCATGTAAATCTGGTCCTATGAGAATGATACAGCCAATGCTGAGTCAGTGTTTTAACAGACCTTAGTGGGTCTGTATTTTAACCACCTTTGATCATGTTTGACCTTTTAGGTATGATTCTTATACAGTTTTAACTCACTTTTACACTCTTTAAATCAACAGTCTTGGAGTCATTTAAATATTATGAAAGCTCCCATGTAAAACTAATCCTGGGCTTAAAATAGTTAATTATACCAGTTTCCTTTTGCGCAGTTTTATTACTTAAACAAAAATATTTATTAAAGTAGGCCAAGGAGATTAAAAAACTAACCTGTGAGGTGACCTGGTGCTGGTCAAAGTGTGAGAGATGCTGGAATTTAGAGAAAATATCTTCTGCAGTGGGAAAGGCCTCGGGCTTTGTCCTCTTCCTCTTTTGCCCTTCCTCACCTCCTAGACAAAATTAAACAAAACAAAAACATACATTTCAGTGGATCATTCATTTTGGTTGTAACTCTCCATTTAAATGACATTAAAACATTATTTACCCAAAAAATGCAAAGAAAATGTGTGAGTGTCATTTACTCTTTTATGTGATAAGAGTATTCTCTGGTAAATCTTTATTTATTTATATTCCTTTATTTATTTATTTATATAGCGCCTTTCACAGACCAGAGTCACAAATCGGTTTACAATTGTGGGCATTTGTCTCTCACTCCACACAGACATGGAAGCGGGGTCGCCAGTACAAGAGGTGCATGCCAGACCTATTGTACATGTTTTTAGTGATAGGGAAACCCGGATTATCCAGAGGAAACCTACGCAGACACGGGGAGAACATGCAAACTCCACTCAGAAAGGCCCTGTTCCAACCGGGATTCGAACCCAGGACCTTCTTGCTGATATGCGCGAGTGCTATCCACTCAGCCACCGCCCCGCCAAAGAAAGTAGTGGTAAAGAAAGACAACTAATACGATAACTGGAATCAACACTGTGAGACTTACACTGCATGTAATGTAAAACACAACTGTAGTTAATAAATAGTATAAAGATAGTAAGATATAATATTTTCTACAACTATTCTGTTCAATACCTGTTTCTGCTGTGCTTTTGCGATTCAAGACCTTCAAGATATCTTTGGTTATTTTCTTGATGGTGTGTCTGGCTTCGTCCCTTTGTTTGCCAACTCCATAAAGGACCACCAGGCGCTGATTACACTCATGGCTGGCACTTTCCTCCTGAATAATACATACAAGATTAAGGTGCAGCGCATGTGGTGAAAGCATTATATATATTCTATTGGAATGGTGACGGCGGGTTACCTGAGGAATAGGGAAGTGTGTGGCATATTGGATGTGGCGTGGTTGTTCGTACAGTTGAGGGAAGGTGGGATCCAAGCCTTTGTCTTTGCAATTGACTTTGCTGTCTTGATCTGGGGTGGGCTTCTCGGGGGATGGACTGCCTTTAGACTCGCAGTGCATGGGAGGAGAGAACATCTGTGCAGAAGAGAACGTCAGTGTATCACAATCGATATTCAGTTGGAAGGAATGCTAAAAGCTCAAACAGAAGTAATACCTCATCAAAATTAGCACTCGAGTTGTGATCAATTTCCATAGACTCAGAGAGACCAGGTTCCTGCAGAAAAAAAATGCATTTATGTCAGTACATCATATGCTTACAATGTGCAGATACTGTGTTTTTCATGGTCTTCGAGAAATGTTTTTATATTATATATATATCAATATTTTACAGTATATTGAATTTATTTATTTTGAATATTGTCAATGATCTATTATGTAGATTTTCAATTAAAGATGATGTTATTAATGTTATAGGAGAAAGTACATCTATATTATTAATTTCAAGTCCAAAGCATTATCTGTATTTGGGAGAATATTTGGAAATATTTCATCCTGGCAGTGAATACGACAAACAAAACATGTAGAACTTCAGTCGATTGGATTAAACAAAGTGACTTAGAAGCATGAATAATTACATAAAACCTGTTTTTGTGTCATAATAATAATAATTTGCAAAGACCACCCATTTTAAAATAGTATATTGTACAAATGTTGAGTTTTGAAATGCCATCCATCCATCCATTTTCTACCCTTTAATCCATTTCTGGGTCAGGGGGGTGGCAGTCAGAGATGCCACCCAAGTCTCATAGCACCAGCCCCTCACTGACCCTCTGCAGGTGGTGAGTCCACAGGAGGACGGCTGCTCTCTGAGTGAGAGCATAGCCTTGATCTTTCAGTGGGGGCTTTTGGGCAAAGTGGGGTTAAGTGTCTTGCCCAAGGACACAACGACAGCAGTCATCAGTGGGAGTCGGTGGAGAAGGAGAAGTTTTGAAATGCACTGAGTAAAAGTAAAAAGTTGTCCGAAAATTAAAGGACTGTTACCAGGTCACGCCACAATTAAGAACAACACTTAAAGTGATTGTCTGGAGTTTGTCAGAAAAAAGAGAGGTACATAAACTAAAAAAAAAGACCCAAGCTCCCTCCCCCTTCCTTTCTAAATGGTCGACGCCCACGTTTCCGTAACAATCAACCCACACATTTAAATGTTAATCTTAGAACACATTATACATATACATTATGAATACACATACACAGAGGTTTTCAGACTCATTTGTTAATGCACAAAAAAAGCGATCGCGATAAACCCGGAGGTAGCTATTATTATTGATTGAACATTATGGGACACATCTGCAGAGGATCTGATTATGGATATAGGTTCAGTATATAAATGATTATGGATATAGGTTCAGTATATAAATGATTATGGATATAGGTTCAGTATATAAATGATTATGGATATAGGTTCAGTATATAAATGATTATGGATATAGGTTCAGTATACAGTATAAATGGGTAACTCAGCGCGGATGTTCAGAATTCTTTGTTCAGTTTTCATGTAGTTCAGAATCAGAATCATTTTTATTGCCACGTAAGTAACAGGAGGTCACAGACTTGGAAATTGCTTTGGCTCAGTGCAACAGTCAGAAAGAGATAATAAAAATAAGAATAAAAAACACTTCTAAAGAATACATTTAAATTTAAAATGGAGTTACAGTTACTATTTACAATATACAAGTGCACATGGTGCACACAATGTAAGGTGACAGCAGTACAGTGAAGTAAAGTGAGCCTAATGGAGGCTTGATTTGGAGGCTTAATGAAAACACACAACAGAGCATGAGCGCTGATGATTGACAGCCCATGGCATCACTTGATTGGTTAAAGTGGACGGCATAGTGGATTTTGAGCTATAGCTAAGAGAAGGGAAGGTGGGACTTACCCGCAATATTAGAATTCATAAAATGACTTATTTTATATCAACATTTAAGGCCAGGAGGTCCATTTAATACAAATCTAAATGTGCAATTCATTTAGAGTTCCAGACTTTCACTACAAAGGTGATCTCAGAATTTTCAATTGTAATAAATTTTAAAATAATGCATCTTTTTGACCACATGGCCTTGTACCATCCTGCAAATAATGTATTTTTCAAAAATAATGTATTTTTCAAAAATAATGTATTTTTCAAAAATGATATGTATATATATATATATATATATATATATTATATATATATAGCCCACCACCAGTAAGATTTGCTGGAAAAGTTAGGATAGGATAAAAATATCAAACCCTAGCCATTGGTTTTTCAGGAAGCTGTGGGGAGAGCATGCAAGTATGGGCGGTTCTCACAGATGCTTTCATACTACATGATTCTCCATCTCTTCACAATTTGTAAAACTGAATAAAAACAGTTATTCAGTTTGAGTAAAAATACTTAGTTACTTGCTTGTAAATTGTGAAATCATGCCAAATAAAAGGTTGTCTTATGTTTGCATGTCCTGATTGCTGTCCTTATGTCAATTATAAAAGGCTTTCAACGTGCCTCCTTCACACTGCTGTTGGCGTCCTGCTCCTTGCGCTCTGACTCATCCAGGGGCTCATCACCAGGGGAGCGTGGGCGGGGCATGTGCGTATCCAGGGCCAGGTCGCCGCGGGAGATGAGCGTGCACATGTAAATGTTGTGGGAGAAGACATCATGGCGGATGAGCTCGTAGAAGAGCAGCACCAGGTTAGAGAACTCCACTCGCTCACTTTCATTGCCAGGTTCAGCTGCAGATAGGATTGTCAAAATACAAATTCAGATATTAAATCAATACTAAAAATATTAATATAGAATTCTAAATAAAATCACAAAAACATACAAAATATGAGCTTCCCTCAGCAGATTCATGGTTTTGTTTAAAAAACACTGCTATTGAACTTGTGGCACCATTATCACAAAGTATTCAGGTATAACCAATTTTAGAAAGGCATTTCAATGTTGGTATAATAATTCACTGTCCAAAATTAACCAAGATGCCTCCCTCCATCAAGTAACTATTGGTGTTTGGTTCATCTTTTACTGAACAGGGACAATGTACAAAACAATTAGTCGTTACGAAAGAGGAGATGATTTGCCCCAGATTTAGCAACTGGGCCGGTGGGGCACACAATACAATTACAAAATAACACTAACTTACGTCACAATAAAACCAACTATATAGTTACATCAAGTGCTTTAGGAAATTGTATACAAGAAAAGAAAATGATGCCCTACAAATTTAAAATACCGTACTGAACAAAAGAGAAATACGAGTAAAATCTACAGACATTGCTTATTCCACTGTGCAAAGGCTGAGGGTTCTTTTTGGGATCACACAGTTTGTGTTTGCTTTGAACAAACAACTTGATCCATCGGCCCACTGCAACATTCAACAGCGTTTTTCAGTGGCGGTGGAGCTAAATCATTAGGGATTTCAAATATTCTTTACAATGATGATAGAGACATCTTTTTGTCTTTAAAGCCTGATTATACAAAGATATGAGTGGTTTGAGAGTGGCCTCATTTTCCCGAGCAAGACACGGGGAGAACATGTAAACTCCACTCAGAAAGGCCCTGTTCCGACCAGGAATCGAACCCAGAACCTTCTTGGTGAGAAGCGAAAGTGCTATCCACTCGTATACACATCTCATGTATATGAGATATATATACTTTTCCTTCGGTCAAAGGCATTTAGAATAGAATGAAAGGAAATGTGCTGCTTGCTACTTGCCATGAGCAGCACTTTGATGCCAAACAAACAAAGATATTGTTTAGTTTGTTTATGCACAAATCACAACCACTCAGAGCCAAAATGTATTCTCATCAACCTTCTTTGTAATCCCTCCTTTACCATCCCTTTTCTTTGCCAAAAAAGGAGAAAGGATAATTACACATAGATTTTATATTCAAATCATGTGAATCATTTGGCTGAGATGCGATCTCAGCCAAATGGCATATATTATATGCCATTTGGCTGAGTTAGGTACTCCAGCCTTATGCCTTCAATAGGAATGCATGCTTTCTGAAATGTCTTTAACAATGTGTTGCGGCTTGTAGAAATCAATAATTGGTTTACAGAATGTTGAGGTTTTTTAAAGACTTACCTTCACCTATGTGAAATCCAAGTAAAATATACCAAATAAGATGCTAAGACAAGACTACAAATGCTCCTAAGCCTTACAATACCCAAATCCCAAAGTGCTGGTTTATTGCTCATCAAAATTTTTCACAGGATGTTTTCACAAGACAAAATAACCAGGCGATTCCAAACCATTTTGGAGCAGTAAAAGAATAAGAAAGAGGTGACTCACTCAGAGTGGGGGCTTGAGTGTCAAGAAACTGGAGCAGCACATCTTGAAACACCGGTAATGTGGCGGCAGAGAGCGAACCGGAGGAGACCGAGCCTTTTTCATCAACCACCTCAGACTCGCCACACCTCTGTAAGACACATGTTAAATCCAGATATAAGAATACAAATTTGGCATTTGGTTTAGTGGGGAAAAAAAATACAGGAAGCTTTGTTATTACTATTGCATTTTTTATAATGAGTCGACAAGTCAAACCTAGACAAGCTAATACCAGACTAAAAATCAAAAGTGAATATTTAGTCAAGGATTCATGCATTAATTTTCCTCATAGAAAACGTGGGGTCTACAATTCTCCATAGCCATTTAACTAGACATACTTTGCGCCGCGTGAAAAAAACCCAAATGTTTACACAACGGTGCAAGTTTGTGCAAGTTAAACATGAAGGAATCTAGTTTTATGTCTCCTTGCATCTGTCAAATAATAGTGCATCATCATCTTGTCGTCCCTCCTCATTCTGTCATTGGTCTTGCTGTTGTGCAGTTTGTAATGATTTGTGCGCAGCAGCATGGGTGTTCCAAGGCCAAATCCTCAAAACAGTGAGGTCAAAAAAGGTAAACGCGTTTGTTAGAAAGACAGCACGCGGTATTTGTTTCTTACGCTCCGAGTTGTGCGTTATTGACAAAAAGTAAGTTCATGCTAATTAGAGTGGCATGGACACTACATGAGCCATTTGCCATTATGTTAGGAATGTTTAGATGTGTATATTGTGTTAGTATGTTTATTACAGTTCGAGTTTTGTACCTAATAAGACAGTTAGCTCGTGTGCTAATACTGTTCTCAGAGACGTGTTGCGCCACGTGCTTCCATTTTATATTACTCTATTTGGTTTCTTCAGCACAGTAAGCCCTTATGGCATGAATCCACTGTATTATCCGCCATTTCCCTGTTATAAGTAATTATTAGATTAGTTCAGACTATTATTTGTGTATTAGCTCAGAAGTGCATTTAATCATATTGTTTATTTCTTTATAGACCACGATCACATACACTACGTATGGTTCCTATGCTGCTGATTGAGCTTCATTAAAGACAGCTAAAGTGACAGCCGCATCCTGTCTCCTGTGGCCTGACCGGCACTCCAGAGTGGATATCAGACCTACACCTATACAGTCCTTTTAATCCGGAGATAGTACTCTCGAATAGCGTTGCAGTGAGGGACCACTGTACAGTTTTACACAGTTATGTAAACGTCCGCTTTCCACTGAATATAGGCAAACAAATATTACGTTTTATGCAACACTTGCCTCTGCTTCTATTTCAGCTTGTCTTTTTTCCAGCAGCTTGGCAACGACCATGGCCCTGTGTCTGCCTGAGCGCTTACAACACACAGCCCATTCACAAAGCAAAGTCACCACTGCATCATCATCTGGAGACATCTGGGAGAATAACAAGATTATTAGCATTCGGTAAATATAAATGCAATGAGTTTCTCTGCACTTTCATTTCTTTACCTCATGGCCATCTTTGCTCTGTCCGGACCCAAATATCCGATTGTAAAGGGAATCTAAAGAGTTGCTGAAATCTGACTTTTCAAAACTGTGGTTGTCCAAAACCTCCAGTGTATGAAGAACTCTTCCGATTGTGAAACCTGAAGAGGAGAGAAAAGTAACAATGTCTTCACTCATTATTTCAAAACTAAAAAAAATTTTATTTAAAAAGGCATATAGGGGGATTTTCCCAAATTTTAGGAAAGAACCGCCCTCACCACTTTTTGAACAAAACTGTGCACTTATCACCAGAATGATTGACAATTGGAAGGACCAATAGTCTTGATGATCCACCCGGAAGAATAAACTCTTTCTATATAACTTTAATGCGTGAATTTTTTCATTGTGACTTCGATTTTTAGAAATGTGTGTAGTGGAAAAACCGCTATTGACTGGTGACAGTGGCACTGTAACATTTGCAGGAATTCCCACATTTGCAGAAAGCAGTCTAAAAATAACTAATGAGCAATACACAATCACAGGTGAGTCAAATTAGCAATTTTGTTTTTATAGAGGAAGAGAATACGACGGAAAGTCATCAATTAATACTTAAATAAGCATGAGTGGAGCCAAATACAACAGTTTATGAAGAAGAAACAACTTGACACCGATATATGCTTGAATCACAACATAATTGGTCATATACTCTCACATTCATCACATTCTAATCCTTCATCACAAAGACCTTTCACGATTATGAGAGATCACAGCTAAGCAGGCCGTTGTGAACCATCATGAAAACTGCCCTTTAGCAAAGCCATTCCAGTGTCTTTTTTTTTTTTTGGAGGAGATAAAAACAACTCACCTGCTGTCGTCTCCTGACATTTATCGAAAGACCACCTGAACTCCACTGCCTGTCCTCGCTCCTTGATCTGTTCCTCAATTTCTCTCAATTTGGCACGCACCTGAAATAAAAAGCAAGGCCGTCATTGTCTGTGTTACGTGCGCCGTGAAATGAATAGGGGCGAGTAGGAGACCTGCTGAGTGAACGTGGTGTTTCCCCCGGGCATGGGCAGGCTGGAGGGGGCGATCGGCAGGAGGTCCAGAGGAGAGCCGGTCTTGTTGCGGCTGTCGGTCAGTGAGTAGTGCCATACAAGAGCACTGGGACAGCACAGCGCTATACTCTATCATGGGAAGGTACAAAAAGGTTAAATACCACAGTGTAAAAGTCTACCAAAAAAAAGTAGGCAGGGAATTATCTTTAGTATAATTTTAAAGAGAGATGATAAATATATATAGTAGTATAGTTTATTAATAATGACCCAACAGAAAGAGCTTTGAAAAAGTAAAATGCTGTAACCAAATAAAACCACAACATGTCGTCTTTATCTTATTAGAAAATGTGTTATATTTTGAGCTGAGAGCTGATTGGATGAGCAAGGGTGGTTCGCTCACTTTTCTGTTTGAAAAACCTGATGCGACCGAGGCCCAAAATAAATGAATGTGAAACCTAGTGATAAAAAAAAAGTTGAGGATTTTTGTTGAACATTGCTTTGATGCATTGGTTTGTAGACTACCATTTATAGTTTATAATATTGTTGGGAGAAAACACCTTATTTTTATATTTTGGGTAACTGTTAGTGGTATAAATCTATACCACTAACACTGTAGAACGTCTTTCAGAAAGTCAGCCTTCGCCGTCACTGCAGCGACTCAGTGGAACTCACTCCCAACTGACATCATCACCTGCACTGAACTAAAAGTATTCACATGCTCTTGGAGAGGCAAATCTTTTCCCATGTGTGATGAGTGTCTGCGTAAGTGTGTTTGTGCTTGTGTGTATGTGTTTGTGCTTGTGTGTATGTGTATGTGTATGTGTATGTGTATGTGTATGTGTATGTGTATGTGTATGTGTATGTGTATGTGTGTGTGTGTGTGTGTGTGTGTGTGTGTGTGTGTGTGTGTGTGTGTGTGTGTGTGTGTGTGTGTGTGTGTGTGTGTGTGTGTGTGTGTGTGTGTGTGTGTGTACTTGTTTTCAACTCCTGGTGGGTTCCATAACCTGAGATTCCACTCACGTCATGGGGACTGGTTTTACGTGGTGGGGCCCGAACACCGGACCCCACTGGTCCAAGCTTAATAATCAATGGGTAATGCTTTTCTAACGGTCCTTATGCAGTCTCTGTAAAAATATGGAAAGGACCCCTGGAGGTTTACTTTCCTGAAAAAAGTGTGTTATGTGTCGGAACCCTGGTGGTGGGTTGCGGGATATCAAGGAGGGGCACACTGGGGCAATTTCAGTCCAGCAGGCTGGAGCCAATCATGGAGCAGCACAACAGAGGAAATCAGGTGTCAGGCTAGAAAAAGGTGCAAGTGTGTGGTTCATTAGGCTGCAAGAAATCATGGAGGAGCACACTGAAGCGCACGCTTACAAACCACTGGTAAGTGCTGACTACAAGTCATGACTTCAAATTGTTATATAGAATGATTACAAATTATTTGTTGTTTGTGCAGCTTAGTCAAGAGTCCCTAATTGATGAAGTCGACTCAGATTCTGACGATTTAACTGTCAAGAAGAAACCTGTAAAAAAGTATGGAAAAAGAAAAATCAAAAACACTTTTCTTCAAGACTCGGAAAGTGACGAACCAAAGGCAAATAAGATTGTTATCATGCAGCTGCAAAAGAAGAAAAATGGGGGGCGAGTATACAGCAAGAGACACTTCTGCCTCTACTGTTCAATGTCCTGCCACAAAATGTCCCGTCATTTGACTAGAAAACATGGAAATGAAAGTGACGTAGCCAGAGCATTGGCTCTACCTGTGAAATCTAAAGCACGTAAACTTCAGTTTGATTTGATCAGGAATAGTGGAAACCGTGAGCACAATTTTGAGGTTTTAAAGGCCGGCATTGGAACTTTAGTCCCAGCTAAACAGCCAAATTGCCCAGTTAAATCCAGTGAGTTTTTGCACTGTATAGACTGTGGGGCATTGCTTAAGCGAAAGTCGCTGTGGAGGCATGTGGCCAGGTGCCGGCTTTCACAGAAAGATGCCCAGGCTAAACCAGGTAGAAGTAGGGTCCAGTCCCTCTGCTCCCTAGCCCAGCCTGTACCGGAGGGCATCAGCAAAAAGCTGTGGTCTTTAATTTCGGCAATGCATCAGGATGAGGTCACGGGTGTTGTCAAAGCAGAAAAGGGGATTCTGAGACTCGGAGAGCACCTGTACTTAAAACACGGGCATGATAAGACAAAGCATGATTACATTAGGCAGAAAATGAGAGAAGTCGGTAGGTTAATTAACGAAGCAAAAACCGCAGGGAAACTGAAAACAATTAAGGATTTCTTTATTCCTTCCAACTTTAACCATGTGATTGATGCAGTCAGGTCTGTGGCTGGATATGATGAGGAAACAAATCAATACAAGACTCCATCCTTGGCCCTCAAACTCGGCCATAGCCTCAGAAAGCTAGCAGATATTCTTGAATGTGACTCAAAAATGGAGCATTGTGTTGATGAACTATTTATTAAAAACCTCCAACGAAGCCGGCTGCTTTTTGAGAAGAGGTGGGACGTCTGTGTTTCTTCTGCTGCCCTACAGACCCTCCGGCAAGCCAAGTGGAACACTCCGGACCTGCTCCCTCTGACTGAGGACGTTAGAGCCATGCATGCACATATTGAGGTATGTCGACCTGAATATGTGCAAACCCTAATAAGTGAGCCAACGTCTAAGCATTGGTCTAAACTGGCAGTTTTGACTCTTTGTGAGGTCATCATTTTCAATCGAAGAAGGGAAGGTGAGGTTTCAAAGATGCCACTGACAGCCTTTACCTTAAGAAGTAAGACTGGGATCCATTCTGACATTGCTCTGGGACTGTCCCAACTTGAGAAAAAGCTGTGTCAGCATTTTCAACGCATTGAAATTAAAGGGAAAAGAAGTCGGAAAGTGCCGGTTCTTTTGACTCCTGAAATGATTGCTTCGATGGAGGTGCTGGTGGAGAACAGAAGGGCCTGTTCCATCTCTGACCATAACCCATACTTCTTTTCCCGCCCGGGCGCAGACACCCACATCAGGGGATCAGACTCCCTACGCCAGGTAGCCAAAGAATGTGGTGCGGTGCATCCAGAGATGCTATCCTCAACCAAACTTAGAAAGCACATAGCTACTATGTCTACAGTTCTCAATATGAAAGAGAATGAGATGGACATACTTGCCAACTTCCTCGGCCATGACATTCGCATCCACAGGCAATATTACAGACTACCAGAGGGGACACTGGAGCTGGCCAAAATCAGCAAAGTGTTGATGGCCATGGAGCAGGGAAGAGTGACGGAATTTGAAGGAAAGAGCCTCGACCAGATACAAATTGAGCCTGAAGGTAATTCTTGATATTATTAAAATATGTATGATTTTTTTCCCCTAAAGGCCACTTGTATTTTTATTTTCTGTGCGACAGGGAGAGCAGTAGAGATCCTCTCACAAACGGACGGGCTAAAAGAAACTTCAAGCGGAGAACCTTCAACCATTCATCCAGATGCACCCCATGGTAGTGGCAGTGCCCCTTCTGGTAAGTGTACCAGGTGGGGGATTACAGCCAGGCTGCTTGGTCCTCACCCTGGGAGTGTATATTGCTAATATATTTTTATTTCTCTCCCTAGAACGTGTAAGAAAGCCATGGTCTGCATCTGAGGTGAAGGCTGTGGAGAAGACCATGACACCTTTCATACAGACTGGAAAGGTCCCTGGGAAGTCTCACTGCCTGGCCTGCATTAATGCCTCACCAGATGACCTTAGACATCGGACATGGAGTGGCATTAAATTCTATGTCAAAAATAGAATCACTGCAATTCGAAAACAAAATCTAAAATAAAATTCCTTTAAAATAGTTGTTTGGTTTCTATTGACTGTTTTGTATTACTTAAAGTCTTGGTAAAAAAAGATTATGTCTATGGGTCCCATTCTGAACGGCCCTGTCAAAGGGACCCACCAGGTAACAAAAACGTGTATGTGTGTGTGTGTGTGTGTGTGTGTGTGTGTGTGTGTGTGTTCAGTGTAGGATTGTATGAAAGTAAAGAATGGGGGCTGGGTGGTTTTATTTTATTTTATCATAACCTGTGATAAATTAAATTGTAATCTATGTCTGATAATGTATGGTCATGTATCCATCTACTTTTATTTACTGTTTTACAACAACCTGCTCAGGGACTACAGGTGTTAATTAGCACTGCTGCTACAACCTGGTACAATGCATCTCTCCCTTTGGCTAAGGTTTATTGTACACTGTCCCAGTAAAAATAAAAAACCATACCATACCACATACCAAATAAGTGGATTGGGCATTACTCAGGCTCAATACCTGTAACATGCAGCTGAGCCCAAAGACCAGCGGCCTGTGCAGAGGGCAGTTGTAGAAGTCAGTAAACGGCGTCTGGACCTGACTCCCTCCGGCCGGCTGCGACGTCGGGGTGGGGGGCAGGGCGTTCCCTTGCTGAGTCAGGATGCCATGAGCTGGATGCCCCCCAGTGCCAGAGCCCCCGTCGCTAAGCAATAGGTTGAGGCGCCGTGTGCAGAAATATGCCAGTCTCCTTGAAAGGTAAGCGGACTGGACGAATTCCCCAGAGTACTGTGTGACAGGAGAGATTCAAGCGTTAAACACGTCGCTCTGTGTCTGTTATTATCGGTCAGCTGTGAAAACATAGACGCTGCGGGAGCGGACTAAAGGTCAGAACAGCCAGAGTGGTGTGCGCTGTAAACACGTTCTGGTTTATGCATAACTTCTGACAGCTGCTTCAGAGATCTTTACACCACAAGAATTTGACATAATATACAGTATGAGGAGAGAATTGTCTGATCCAACCTACACATTCAATAACACATCATTATTTCATTTCATAATATCTAGGTCATAATTTTAGCACTGTATTTATGATCAACAGATTGACAGGACATAATTTTTCACATGTGTGAACAATCTTGTGACAATTTAATCTCAATCTTTCCATCAATTTAGCAATTCTCCAATACCCTTAGTTTCTTAGAGCCATATCATCACTGTACGCATGCTACATGATTTAAAAAGATCTCTTGAAGTAGTGAACAGGTTAGTATTAATTACTGTCATACAATATCAACGACCTAAATATAAGGTTCATTTTAGTGCAGACCACATGAAGACATCATTAACAGGGTAGCCACAGGCCACAAATTTAAGACCTAAGGAAAATGTCTTGGAATAACAAACAAGCTCTATGAATGTTATTTATAACCATAAAAATCTACAAACAGTACTGCCTGACGTCCAGATGCATGTTTTTGCTGTATTGTTGAGGCCTTTATCAAAACAAATAGTGAAGCAACCACTTGCATTTTAAGTTTGTGGTGGAGGCAACCATAGCTTGTGGTGGAAACCCTCCCAGGCCTAATCCACAACCTTCCTGCTATGAGGCTTGAGTGCTACCCACATGCTGCCCCCTCAGCCACCTTAAATGTAGCTACAGCAAATGTAATAAGATCCTGGGGCTAGCCTGATTAACTTTTAAGCCTATTCTGCCACAAAAAAAAAAAGAATACTCTTCAATAAATTGTGACAATATCATTGTGAATGTTTGATGACATTATAATGTGAGAAGGGAAAAAAAGATTTACCTGTAGCAAAAGTGGCAATAGTAGTCGGAGCAATTCATCTTCACCTGGTCGCACCTTCTCAAAGCATTCCAGCACCCATGTCAGAAACTCGTGTCTGTCTAACATGCCATCCTATCAGGTAAACAGCATTTTAGTTTTGTAATGATTGAAAAAACATCTAATGAATTACCTAACTCACCTGAAACATAAACATGGCAAGTTTTTCATTGTACTCCCACTGTTTCATTGCTTGCTCCACATCGGGAGGAGGCGCAGGCAGAGGGGAGCTGCAGCCTTGATTGGGAAACTGTCGGTAGAATTCTGCCACTTTCTGCAGCTGTTCCCAGAGGTACTTGGTTATGATCTGTGTCCATTCTGTTAGAGAGTGTTCACATTATTCTCCACATGGTAAAAAAACAATCTTAGGCATACCCATGCGTAAATACTCATACACATGAATGTGCCAGTAAAACTAAAACAATGCACGCAACAGATAGTGAATGAGTTTTTAATTTTCTAAATCATCAATTAGCCTTTTGACACAATTAGCAAACAGACTGTTTTCTTTAGAGTGATGGTTGCTGAAATTGTGCTCAATATGTGCCTAAATTTAAAAGTATGAATCAGACAAAATGTTTTATGACCCCAGATCTCAAATCTAGGCTGTATTCATGATTCAGTTGGTATTATGACTATACTATAAATGCTATAACGGGTACATACACAGCTTTAAGTAAAGTATAACTACATTTTACCAAAGTATGACTATATTTTTTGCTGTCAAAAGAAAACATGCAAAAAATGGAAAGGCACTCATTCACTTGTCTTGCTCTTGCACAACTGATAAAAGCAAAACAAAGGCCATACCTATACAGGGGTCAATCACATGCCTCTTCTTAACTTTAGTTTCGGTGATTGCTGCATGATAAGCACATGTCATTTTTATCATCCATGCTGAGCGCATAACAGGGACTGAATACTTCGCCAAGTAGCCAAAAACCTCTTCCTTTTTGCTGAATGTTGGTACCTGCAAAATTGAACACGAGATCTGAGCACTGAAGTCTGATATGACCCAAATTTAGATTAGATTATTCTATTGAGCTGTTGTGCTAAAAAGAGTATACATTTTCTTCCAACTGTACGTACAAATCCTTCTATTATATAAAGTGTTAGGACTTTTACCTTCTTAGCCAGTTGTGTCAGAGGTTTAGTCCCTGCTAAGTCTGTAAACCAATTATTGATGGAGCTCTGTGATCTTGCAGTGAGCGGCCAAAAATTATCTTTTTGGTTAACCTGTGGCTTGCGCTTCCCTGTGTCTGGGAAAGTATTGTAACGCAACTTTTCCGCCATGATACTGCTGAAGTTGGAACTAATCTGTAAAAGAATAAACATACTGTTGAATTCCACATCGCTTGCACCAATTATTCTCAACACTGTTTACCTTAGAGGGGTTGAAGTTGACATTTTTTGCACTTCCATGTTCATCTCCTGATACTGCAGGCTGGTTATTAAATCCTTGCTTCACATTCAGGGCTGTCAATTCATCCTGAAATAACAAGATTTTTGTTCAGGACACCAGGCAAAATGTGAAGAATCAATCCTATTCAAACAGATTTTTGTTTTTAATGATGCTTTTGTTTGTTGTTGGAGAACAGGGGTGCCCAATCAGGATCTACTCATTTGTACGTCCAGGTAAGTCCTAAATGTCAGAGTGATCATCTTTCCATGTTTTTTTACTTGAATCTTGCACTCCATTTTTGACCGTGTTGTACCTGTTGGGGTTTAGCGACATTTTCCAAATCATAAGCCAAGAACAAATTAGATGACGATTTTAGTATTATCTCATTCAAGACAGATCGATCCCATTCCCATTCATAAGTTTATTGTTCATGCATCAGTGAAGTGTATTGCCTAAGGAAACAACCAAAATGTTGCACTTTACAGCCGCTCCACTGTGGCAACCAGTATTCCCAGTGTGGTCTCCCATCATAGTACTAGCAGCCCCTGTACTGCTGTTCTGACGGGATCTGGTTTACACATGCAGGTATGGTGTTGTTTAATTGGTCAACTGGGCATGTCTTTGATCAACCACCAATGTCTTGGGTTGACTACAGCCTTCGAAGGTTCATGATTGAGAAGGATAGCTGACATATAGATTTGGTCTTTTATACCAAATTCTCTTTGTTCACATTGGTCAAAATTAACTCATTTTGCAGCGGAAAAAGAAGCTCTGTTCCACCGCGTCTTACTACTGGGACAGGCTTTCACAGTGTCACAAAACTGGGATATTCTCCAGAGGCATCACTTGACCTTTGCTTTGGTCAAATGCACAAAAAGAATGGCATATTTACTGAGCTTTCAACATGTAAAAAAAAAAAAAAAAAGACAATTGTAAACCGCTTTGTGACTCTGGTTAGTGAAAGGCGGTATATATAAGTAAAGATTACTTACTTACTTAAATCAATTAATCGAAGGAATAATCGTCCAACTAAGAAATGATCATAATAATTATTAATCACAGACCTGCGTAAAACTAATTGTCTATTTTGAAAAATAACTATTAAATTAGTGCAGGTAAAGTCAACAAAAGAGCCACTAGTAGAACACGATTAACCGCTATTAAATATATTAATCACATTGACGAAGCGTCTCTTGAGTGACTTAATGAATCAACAGAGTTTAGTTGTCATACGGCTGTAAACATACTGCTGCTTATGTACAGATGCTAACATATAACCACACTTTACTAGCACTAGAATACACAGTACTTCATACTTTGTATATATTGTTATTTTTTTACATTTATTATTATTATTATTATAGAGTTTTTATACTTATTATTGAAGCTAGAGTTAGAGATGTTTTATTTTAATTAGGACAGCTATTGTTCAGGTAACGTGTGCTCCTCTTTCCTACTGTTCTATAACTTGTGATGCAACACTGAAATTTCCCCACTGTGGGACAAATAAAGGATCTCTTAATCTTAATCATGCAATCAGCACTTGTCACCAATTTGTATGTCAAACTACGTCCGAATACGTCAAATTGTTTTATTTAAAAACTCAATGATGCAAAAAATGAAAACTGCACAACGTTACACTAAACCATTCAGGTGTGATATTGAGTTGCGACGCAGCTTGAGTTAGCAAATCCAGAAAGACCAAAACATGATTGTGATCATTCGTATCGTCAGTCATGCACAAAACGCAAGAAAGCAGTGGTGGTCTTCCCAAGAAACATATGTATGATCATGATGTGCTACTACTATCAAATAATACACCACCGCCATGTATTTGTCTAAGTTAAGCTTGTTGCTGTTAGCAGACTGACAACTAGGTGCAGTTCATTGTTATTGCAAGGCCCAGCGTTTAAAGGCTAGGCTACACATGCTAGCTCGTTAGCATGTTAGCAAAGGAGCTCGGGTGGAAATCTTGCCCAAGAAATGGTGTAACCGGGGTTAACAAAAAACATTGGGTTGATACGGACCTCTTTTTGCTTTGGATCTTGCGGATACACGTCCGGAGGGCCGAGTCTGGGCCGCTTTAAAGGCCGGTGTTCGTAACTTAATATCCCGAAAGCAGCCATCATCCAGCGGCATCACAACCAGAGGAGCCTGGGCTTTCCTCCTCCTCCCGATCAGAGCAGCAGAGACCAACCAAAGACAACAACACACACTTCCGGGACACACTGCAAAATACAAGTTCAACCCATGGATCTATTATAGTGGTTCAACCCAAAGGCATGTTTTCTATATTTCTGCAACACGCTGGTGGAAATTTTCAAAGGTTTCAGCCTTTTTATATCTTGATTTGTCTGAAATCTTTCCCCATACATGAGATCTATGTTGAAGACTTTTAGGGAAATTCCTTAGAAAATAATGAGTTCTACATTCATAAAAACCCATGAATACGTTCTGTATATTTACTCAACATATGGTGTTCTATTTTTTATTTTTGTCTTTCTTGAATTATTTGTGCATGTTATTGTGTATTGTCAAACTGCTCAAATAAAAATGCTACTACTACTACTTCTATTTTTTAGGAATAAAAAAAAAAAGGCAATCTTTATATCATTTACAGTCTATGGTCCTGATAGAGCAAGTGATAGACCCTTCACCAAAAGCATTGCCAAACTGGCAGATCACAGCCAGATTCAAATTCCAATTGAAATATAAAGACCTCCAGGAGCAATTCAGGTTTGCAAATACACAAGCCTACATGTGTATGCAAATTACTTTTAAGTTTATTAAGATTAAGAGTTTCTTTATTCGTCCCACAGTGGGGAATTTTCAGTGTTGCATCATATAAGTTATAGAACAGTATGGAGGAGCACATGACACAAGATAAGTGAACAGTAGCTATACTAATTAAAATAAAGCAAAATCTCTAACTCTAGCATAATTAACAAGTATAAAATCTCGATCTTGAAAATAATAATAATAAAAAGAAGTGTAAAAGTTTTACATTTGGCAATAGGAGAATTTATAGGATAATTGCTTGATTGTCCATAGGTGGCAATTAGAGCTGCCAAAACACAAATCACTTGAAACAGTAAGTTATTGGTAAATAAATAAATAAATCTAACAAAAGGTCAGAAAAAAGTAAGTACAAAATATTTTATTTAAAAAAAAAAGACTTAAAATTAAGCCTTTAAAAACATCACAAGTAAAACATTTAAAAGGCCATAGTCATCAATACAATAAAAATATTGCACTGCAGTATTAAGCATATGCTCAGTAATAAAAAGGCATAAGAAAACTTCATTCTACGTTCTATACCCTTGTCAAAAAAGTACCAAAACTATTTACATGTGCATAATTTAAACATCAACAATTGGATTTGAACAAAACAGAAGACAAGAGACAGCTTGAATGTGCACTATGTATAAAATATATACGTATGGCTATTTCCATGAGAACCTGGAATCTAGAGACCCAAACGTGCAAAATACCATGTTAATGTTAAAATCTATTCTACACAGTAGTGCTGAATGAAACAATTTTAGAGACGTTCCATTGTAATCTTAAAACAATACCAACTTAACGGGTACCAATATAATGATCAAAGAGTGAAGGTTACGATTGTACTAAGCCTTTTCACAGTGAAACAAAATATTTTAGCATTATATAAATAAAATATGACATGTTGGATCTCAGAATGAAATACATATAATTTCTCATAATAAAAAAGTTATCAGTGTTATTGCCAAGTTTTACGACTCAACTGGCCTTTGACCAGTCATGAACATGGATACAGTCTTTGGTTTTTTAAACTTCCTGTGAATACACTTGCACTCTAGCATCAGTCATGACTCATTGTGTTGGATTCATTTATCTACTCCATCCCTTACAGGACTAGCCACTTTGATTTTCTGCCGCCTCGATCATGGCTCTAAATCTTGAGTTCTCATCCGCCAGCAAGAAAGCAGGTTTGTCAAACTCTATGATCTGTAAAAAGATGAAAGATTAAATTCAAAAGGTGAATGTAATTATTACAAAGAAAGTGGTTGAAGTATGAATTTCTTCAACAGAATACAATTACTCATTGAACGCACCTTGCCATTATCCAGCACCATGACTCTGCTGCAGTTCATGACCGTGGCAAGCCGATGGGCAATAATGAGAGTGGTGCAACTGCCAAACGCAGAGCGAATTGTGTCTTGAATGAGACGATCAGTTTCTGTGTCAATAGCTGCCGTTGCCTCGTCCAAAATAAGAATCTGTTTTAAACGAACAACGCATCAGATGTGTTCACGGATAACTGACAGCAGCAAAGACATGAGTACCTTGCTGTTGCGCAGAAGGGCTCGAGCTACACATAGCAGCTGACGCTCTCCAACGGAAAAGTTCTCTCCATTTTCCGTCACCTCCGAATATAGGGAATGAGGGAGCTGGTTTATCTTTGAAAAGAATGAACATTTAGAAAAACGTAAGATGTTTATTTTGCCGATGTAATCAAAGACACTTACCATTTCTTTGATATGTGTCTGCTCAAGAGCCTCCCATATTTCAGAATCTGAGTATTGGTCCCATGGATCCAAGTTAGACCTAGTAATACAAAATTATGTATATATGAACTTGTTTACCCTCTGCAGGCGGTTTTCCCTCTCATATGCACTGTACTGTAAAGTTAATGTACATAAATGCACAGTTTACCTGATTGTGCCGATAAAGAGAACCGGCTCCTGAGGAATGATTGCTAGTTTTCTCCTGAGGTCATCCAGTCCAATCTGTGCAATATCGATTCCATCTATAATAATTGAGCCTTCTGACAGCTCCACAAGTCTGAAGAGGGCGACGCCCAGAGAGGACTTTCCTGTAGAATCAAAGTAATACATGAAATGAGAATCTAGGTTTAAGACCAAAACTACAACCGACGTCAGGATTGTTATAGGCCTACCACTTGCATGAGGGACTACATAGTTTTAGCAAGGCTTAAAGGCTAAAAACGGTCAATATGGTTGTCTTTAATTCCTTGCCGAAAAATTATCCTAATTTTACCTAAATAAATGTCTAACGAGGTACATCAAATAAAATATGTATAAAAGGAGCTACAGTGGCTGAGTTGGTAGAGCTGGCCTTTGGGCCTGAAGGTTGTGGGTTCGATACCCCCACAAGACCTTCTCCAACTCCTCCCACTAATATCTGCTGTTATTGTGGCCCCACGTTGCCTGAAGCCCCCACTGAAACACCAAGGCTATGTTACCGCTGACGGAGTCCTGTGGATCAACGAGGGACTGGTGCTATGAGCATTGTGTGGCAGCTCTGATTGTCACGGCTCAAACCGACAACTCTCAGGATCAAAGGCCAATGCTCTACCAACTCAGCCACTGACGAACCTATGACTTCAAATTTATTTTGTACAAACTGTGCTTATATAAACCTACTTTACCTGATCCAGTGCGGCCTACTATGCCAATAGTCTCTTGTGGTTGGATGTTGAATGACATCCCTTTCAGTACAAGAGGCAGTTCAGGCCTGTATCTCATCACCACGTTCTTAAAAATGATCTTTCCCTGCTGGGGCCAGGAGGGGGCAGGAGCGCTCTGCTTATCACTTTCTCTGGGAGCTTCACTCTCCAAAGTCTGAGAAAAGAATAATGAAAAGACAGTGAACATTTTTCCCAAATGTTCACTAGTGGGAAAGAGGAATTTTATGTAGAAAAATAAAACACATAGAGGGGCAAAAAAGAATCCAGTAGTCAAAATTCAGCGAGAAAAGGAAACACTTTTTGGTAGACCCACCGTAGTGATATGATAGCACGGGGTAAAGCGAGGGTAAAAGAGAGACTACTTTCATAAACCCCAGAAACAATATTTAAACAATTTGTGCACTGCTCAAATTGTCACTTTATACTTCTGTAACTTTATATCCATGACTCTGGACACTTATTTGATAACTTACACTGTTATGTATTCATATATTCAAATTTTATGAAGATTTATACGCACATGTCCATTTTATTACTACAAATGACTAGTCTGACTTCCTGTTACTTGCCATTGTAAGTATGTAAAATAATTCTGAAATAAGGGAACACCTTTCTCAACAAAGATGTAAGTTATCTTTATATATGGTACATAGTGACTTTCACAACACAAAGCACTTTCCAATTGTTCAGAGCATTTTTCTCTCACTGCATGATGATTGAAGTAGGGTACGCCACATGTACACAGGAGCGATGCCAAACCTATTGTACATGGTTTTAGTGGTAGGGGAAATCAGGGTACCCAGAGGAAACCTACACAGGCACGGGAACTTCTTGCTGATCTTGTAGAGAAGCGAGAGTGCTAACCAGCACTCTCGCTTCTCTACATTTAAGATGAAACATGTCAGGGTTGGGGAAAACGCATGATGAAAACTAAGGGCCCTTCTCATTTTTTGAAGTGGGACAATCTAACTGTCAAATACTTTCCCCACTTTAGGTGTAAGCAATAAAGCTTGGTTTAAGTTTAACAGTGCTATCATGTTCTTTAAATGATCTTACCTTTATGTAATTATCAATCCTCTCAACAGATGTAAATTTGGCTTCCGTCACAGTGACCAACCTCACAGTAAACTGAAACAAGCCTGTTAACTGAAAACACAAAAAAAAGTCATTAGTTTATTTTATATCTCATATGTAGAAGCTCAAGTCATCCGCGCACTGACCTGTACAGCATAAGAAATGGCAAGTCCTGCGTAAGATGGGGAAATGTTGTTTTTCATGGCAATAATGAAACCCGCAACAGTAGAGATGAGAACAATGCTTATCAGGTCTAGGCGCACAGCTAGCCATCGCATTGAACAACTGAAGAGATAGCTTGAGGCTTGGCTAGTATCCAGCAATTCTTGATATCTGAAAAGAAAAAGTAAACTATTTGCAAAAAAACTCTAGCGTCCAGCTCATGGTGTTTCAAATGAGGTGAACTAAAAACTGGGGACAGTTCACAGCCACAAAAACACTCACCTTTGAAGAAAGTTTTGTGATCTTCCAAAGGCATGGATAGTAGGCAGTCCTTGTATACTGCTGGCTATGTGAGATGTTAATGGAGATTGACTAATGTTTTCCAAGTGCTTAAGCTCACGGATTGTGGTTCTGAAAATACAAACAATTGTGTTTAGAAGGAGGGCCTTGATGTTTCATATAAATGAAAAAAATCCAATCGACTGTGTGTAATAGGATAAGGACTGTTGGGCATGCAGTGGGCTTAACAAATTGGTGTGAGTGTGAAGACCATTTGGGCCAACGTGTGGTTGGTACATTTCTACGTTTAGATGCCAGTTTGAGCAAATGGTACACAAGAGTACACCAATAATAAACATGTGAGGTGGGGGCGAGCTCAGTTGGTAGAGCATTGGTCCACCAACTGAGCTAATGCTCTTGGGTTCACTGACATCTGCGCTGTTGTTGTGTCCCCGGGCAAGACACTCAAAACCACTCTGCCTGAAGCCCTCACTGAAATACCAGCGTTGTGTCGTCACTGGTCTTCTACACTTGCACAACGAAGGGCAATGCTGTTGCAAACAGAACAGCATTTCCATTAAAGAGGCTGCCATGCCAATCCACTCTAATGAAAACAGAGCAATAATCTAGTCACATACTTCCTAAAGTGGGAGCCTCAGTCACTTCAGGGAGACCTGCGAATCTTGCTACAGTGCAGTTTACGTTCCGTCCTGGGTGAGCTGAAAATTCTCAGCAACTTGTGTGGGTTTAAGGGGTCATCTTATGTTGCAAGTGCAAAACACTGAGCAAGGATGAGGAGAGGGAAATTGCCAGACCTCGCAAAACCAGTCGTTTTTAGTCGTTTTGCTTGTGACCTCTATTTTCCACCTTTTTATTCCATTTCACAATTTACTCGGCTTCCCAACTGGACAGTCTGATTAACTTTGACATCCCTGTTTACCATCATCATATTGCAACTCAAATTTACACAAGGCCCCAACTCAAGGAACAAACCTGCTACGCCGGTTCACAATCCTGAGGAACGCCAACATTGGTGGAATGAAAAGCAGGAACCAGGGAAAGACCATTGCCACCATTCCGATACAGCTCATCACCATCGTCATATTCTGCAGCATCAGCTCAGCTTGCGTTACCAAGCGAATATCCACTGAGAAAAAAATAAACATAAAATCAGACTTTTATAATATATTAATTTAAAATTTCACAAACCAAATGTGGTCATGTCACCCCACAGGCCACAGTGTAGAACTTAAATGTATAGATTTTCTTTTTGTAGATTTAGATTTCAGAATCACATATTTGTGACAAACCATTAAAAAGTGAACTTAACTGCAAATCAATATATCAAATTCAATGTAAAGGTCAAATTATTTATGCATTATAGAGAATAGATTGACAAGTATTTAAGACTTCAAGGACTTACATTAACATTAGATTGATTTTCAATGCTCACCCTCTTCCATGTCTCTTGAGAAGCGGGTCAGGATACGACCCAAAGGAGTTGTATCGAAGAAATGCATGGGGCTGCGGAGGATCTGCTTAAAAAGACTATCATGGAGGCTGCAGCTTGCCTTTATTGTCCACTGCAAGAGAGTACATGATATCAGAGCTGACAAAAGCTAAAAATGCATTCAAAACTTTTTTTGTTGTTGCAATGGGCCGGGACATTATATCTACTACATCTAAAAGGCAATAGTGAGGTGTGAAGCCTTGACAAAGTATGAAGTCAGAGAACTTACCATTGAATAGACAATGCCTCTGAGAGTCTTCAGAATCATAACAGTTCCCATGGAAATTAGGTAGATTTTGGAATAGAACTGCTTGTCTGAGTTCAGGCTCATGTTGCTACTTCCATAAGTTTCATTTGCTAAGATCATTGATGAGTTCTGAGGCAGATACAACAACAATTACAAAGACTTAAACAGCAACCAAAACGTAAAGGTAAAAACATGAGGTTGTTCAACTAGAAAAGTCTGACACCATCTATCATAAAGAATGAGTCTGGTGTGTGTGTGAATGGTTGGTGGCGGTCGGAGGGGCCAATGGAACATACTGGTTGCCTCGCTTCTGTTAGTGTGCGCAAGGACAGCTGTGGCTACAGTAGAAGTTTTCACCACCGTGTATGGAGTGAAAGAATAATGTGAAGCGTCTTAGAGTGTCCTGAAAAGCGCTACATAAAAAACTGATGCATTATTAAATAATTAACATTAACAAAGGTATCAAAGGTAAATAATGCTACCAGAGGGAGTTAACAGCGCACTTAATTTTTTCCAAATTACTGGCTGAAAATATAGCCATGTGATTACTAAGAACTTAATTTCACCTGAGAAATAGCCAAAACAAATTCATGGGCACCATCTTTTTAAAAGTCAGGATGATTCTGAGTGTGACGTTATAGCGGTACAATGACATACCATTAGATGACTGAGACGGAAGCTTTTAGACGGAAGGGGCGACGTTATACGTTTGTTCCAGAAGTTCTTGATATTAGCGTAGAACCGGCTGAAAATAACTTCAAGTCTGTTTTTGACTAGAAAATTATGTTGTCATTCTTTATATTTTATTGAGAGAACAATGTTATAAGAAACCTTTTTGGTGGCAATACGTATTATCTGCATTAACGCGAGTAGTGACCTCAACTCGACAAGTCAACTACTAAGTTGTGCAGGCCATACTTGCAGTTAAGATTTTAGAACCATGAACTTAGAGATTAAGTGGACACAGACACAGAAAATGCCACAAGGCCAACAACTCACCACATTGCCATTCCTGAGCCAATAGCTCAGCCACCATTTGTTGAAAGCGATGCTGCCAGTGGTGGACAAGAAGAGGAGCAAGTTTATGATCAAGAGAAATGGACCACCTGCTGCCTTTATGTAGGCAGCATAGACTGGCCAGCCAACAGCCCCCTTCCCCTTCTCCTCAGCTTTAATCAGTTGACCTAAAAAAAGTGCATTAGTATTTGCTTTTTTTGTAAACTGCACATTTGTAAAAACTGTGTACCTTGCTCAACGTTGCTTCCATTTGTATTGGCATTTGAAGCTTCGGGAAACTCAACAGTTTTAGGCGTTTCTTCTAGAGTTTTTGGTTTCTTGCTCTTTAAATTTGTATTTACAATATTCTAGAGAGAAATAACAATGTACTTGTGAGAAAAAAGCCACACAAAATGGTAGGATTCTGAGCAGCATAACAGTAAATCAATTAACACAAACTAGTGTGCATTGTAGGCTATGTTTGCATACCAGTGGGTCTACACTCCCATGCATAATTTTGTGACAACTTATAATTATTGTGTCATCTATCCCTAACTATTCAAACAGGGTCTCCAAAATATGCACAAATCCTACTCAATACCCATTACATAACATTGAAGTTATGTAATGTTATGTATGTACACTAAGCTTAATTTATCTTTGATTTTTTGTAAACTAAATCTAAAGAATGAACTGACAATAATTCTTTAATAAGTGCATTGCATCTAGCCAACTCCGGCAAGATGCGTTCACTATATTCTCAGCTCTGTATTCTTACCTCTTTTTGCATGCTGTTGAATAGAATCGCATAATCATGGCCTCTCTCCATTAGGTCTGCATGGGTCCCGTGTTCAGAGATCTGTCCGTTATTCATGAGTATTATATCATCACACCCAGGCAAATACTGAAATGTGATTACATATTTTTAGTTTCAGCATGATGCGTCACAATGTTGAAAGTTACAATTTGCGCTACCACTCACCTGCAACTGGTGGGTAACAAAGAGCACAGTTCTGCCCTTAGCAATTCCCTTGATGGCTTTATGAAAGATTTGCGTTCCCACACAGGCATCAACCGCACTGAGAGGGTCATCCAGCAGAAGAATTGGCCGTTCACTATAAAGAGCACGGGCCATGCTCACTCTCTGACGTTGCCCTCCACTCAGGTTGGCTCCTCTCTCCCCAATCTAAATAAATACTGCAATTAGCCAAATATAGCTTAAAAATTAAGCACAGAATTGTATGACACATTACCTCTGTCATATCTCCATATGGTAACTCTGCCAGATCAGGGACGAGGCAACATGCTTCAAGAATCGCCTGATATCTTTGAAAAAAATCAAATTTGTGTTATAACCCTCCTTACATCATACACAAAATGATCAACTTACTTGCATTGGTCGAACTCCATTCCAAACAAGATATTCTCTTTGAGTGAGTGGTTTAGGATCCATGCTTGTTGAGAAACGTATGCAAAGGCACCACTTACAGCAACATTTCCTTCTAAGAGAGTCATCTATAAGAAGCATACAAGTTTCAAGTTGTGATAATTTTTTAGGGATCTAAGTGAATACAATTCATATGAATTGTTCAGTAACCTGTCCAAGTAGAGCTGTAAGAAGAGAACTCTTTCCACTCCCAACACCTCCACAAATTCCAACCAGTGAACCCTGCAGAAATGAGACCTGGGCATCAGTCACACTAATATTACAGCACTAAAATATCATTCTGACAATTAATCCAGGAAGACAAAGCTTCAGGAAATGTATCAATCAAGAATGGGCATTTCTCAAGAACAACTTAGCTTTACCTTCCTGATGTGCAAGTCAATGCGATGTAAGGTTTTGTGGAGTGGAGGTCTCATGCTCTGTGTGGATGATATGGTGCTCTGAGGACTCTCCTGCTCCATGTTGGTGAGCAAGCTCTGAGCGTTGAGGCAGTCTTTAATTTCTTTGTTGTCCTCTGGGGAAAGGCACAGGCCGAGCTTCTCCCGCCGCAGTACACGCTTCATGCCTCGGCCCTTCTTTTGCTTTGATGAAGGGTTTATTTTTCCCACTGGGGAGCTGGCCTTTTCCCATGCCAGTGTAGCACCTTGGAATTCAACTGCATTGCGAGGATCATCCACTTTTATTTGTATCACTTGACGTCCCTCTAATACAAACAATCTCTGCAGGCCAAAAATAAATCAAATCAACCCATTTGTTGCTTTACTAACGATACACAGTACATAATATTCCTGATTGTGTAAAGTATTGATTTGCAGTGTTTTTTTATTCCAAACATTTGGACTATTAACAAAAAGAGTTTTAATGGCAATTTCTTTCACCTGTCCCTCAGCTTCAATTATCAGTAATTTAAATCCCCCTTAAACCTTTGAAAAAGTGTCTCAAAGATTATAAAAAGCAGTGGAATATGTTGTGCTTTGTGTTGACAATTTAGCCTTTCTCAACAATTTGATAGAGCTTTTGGCAATGTTACAATTGCTGAAAAATACATTGAACATTAGATTTTTCCCGTAAATTTGAAATTGTTAAAAATGTGAAGTGAGAAGAGAATTAACCGTAATGGACAGTTGAAACAAATTGGTCACGCACAATCAAGTCTGCTTACCCGAAATCTTTTAAGAGCAACGCCACCTTCTGTTAAGGCTCTGGCAGCTAATGGAGTGACTTTCAAGGAAAATGTCATGGCGTTGTAAACTGCCACCACAGTGAAAGCCTAAAAAAGGGAAGTGTCAAGTTGGTTCTTTCAAAAAACAAAATAATGCCAAAGTTAATAAATGTAAATACTTCTGCAGCAGTCAAGTTATATCCCAAGGCCACGTGAATGGTGAAAGTGCATACAGATGCGATCACCACCACCACAGGGGCTACTCCTAGAGTGAAACTCTGGACAATCCCCACCTTTTGTAGAATAGACTTTTCTCGAGACCGAACCTCTGTTGAGTACAGGAGAGATTAATTACACACCTTACTAGGTTTTTACACCACACTAAAGTAGACAGCAAAACATCTATACAAGGACTTCCATTCACCAAGCCAAGCACCCAAGAGAAAATCGTTTTTGGTGTCAACAATGTGCTACTCCCCAAGATATGAGCATTGACACATTTGTAATTCCAATCTAATGAAAAAGGATGACAACCAAAAGCCCCAGTCCAGGATCAACAGCCTGTGTCCACAGGATCAAATCTCTCTCTCAGTATGGGCCTGAAAGGTGTCTCAAATATTTTCTCACTGGGTTCTTTCTTGCTGAAGCAGGAGGGTCTAAGGACAGTGATGATTCAGGACATTTATGCACTTTTATTCACAACCCACTCCCTAGGGATCAATGGCTCCTACAGTGTTTGTTATTATTGCATTTATTGTGTTCAAATTGTTTGATTTGATTATCTGTTGTTGGCGAATTGACAACAACTGCTGTTGTGATTTAGGGCTAAAGAAATTATGTATATTAAATAGCTAAACAAGTCAACTAATGTTCTGATGTAGAATCAGAATTCTACAACTGTATAGTCATTATGGGTGCCCACCTGGGCAATATTAGTCGTAATGATAAAGGGACACTGATCGCTATCCACCTGGGGTCACTCATCAGGAGTGTCAAAGCAACCGGCAACTTTGTCTTTAAGAGCAAAAAAAAAAAAAAACACTAATATTTCTAAATATTTTCTGCAAAAAAAACACTCACTCTGAATATTTTGGGCAAATGCATCCTCCCAAGAATACATCTTGATGAACTTCATACAGCCCAAAATCTCGTTCATTCGCCTCACACGGTCGTCTGTCACAGACACACACTTCTTTCGGAAATATCCCAAGACTTGTGCAGCAAACATCTGTCAAGACAGGAACAGACACACGATCACAAGAAAGTAAAGAGGAACTAAAAGCAGACGATCCTTTTAGCCTTTGTAGGGGTAAATGTCTGTATGTATCACATAACTCTAAAGTCATCAACTAGAGGTGCTAGAAATGTATCACATAATCATCTTTATACAAAATATACAACTGTCAAAAAGGCACCTGCTCAGTGCCTCCCAAGCACAAACACCATGTGCAGTGTTCGTGAGAAAGTTACGAGCAGCGCATTGGCTTGTTTTAACAATGATATGATTATCTCTATTTTATCTCTATTTTAAGAGATGCAATCCCTTGCATTAAAACATAGATCAATCTTAGCAATGAGGCCATGCTTCGATCACATCAACCTCTCGTCTTTTCCAAAACAGCAGCTCTGCTTAGCCCTGTGTGACAGCAAGAGTGAGGTCAAGATGGAATTGGTTAAAATCATACTTAGTCCAATAGGGCACTTAATAAAATATATTTTCTTTTCAATTTCATACAGAAAAGGATATAAGGTTAGGAGTTGCTAAAGTATCTATAACTTCTCTATAAACCTGAGACCTGTAGCAGTTATCTGCCAAAAAAGACATCCTGATCAGAGCAAATCTATTCATTTGAAAATCATTTGACTGTTAATAAAAAAGTTTGCCTTGTACCATGGCTGGGGTGAAGACAATCACTACAGCAGATCCTAAGAGGGCAGTGGGTCCAAGGAGGAATACGGTGTAGGTCAATCCGAGCAGCCCGACCACAGGCCCTCCTGCCAGCAGACATCCCACACACACCGCTTCATAGATCTTCTGCCCATCATTGGTACACATGTTGATCAGCTGGAGAAGAAGGATTCCACAAGTTTAGACCCTAAATTAGATCCTTGTGACAAGTGGATTTGAATATCCAGGGCTGGGAAATTATCGCGTCGTCAACAAAAACTATAACCTCTGCTACATAAAACAAATTTATTTTCCAAAAGGATCCTTGAAGAGATTTAGTGTTATTTTAAGAAAATAGGTTGGAACGTGTGTCTTTTGCAAACAATTTTGTATACAAATATTCAGTATTTTCTGAGGTACCAGGGGTTAATAAGTGGCAGTGACTTTCAAATTTCACTGAATTTGATTTGTAAAAGGCCATGGTGACAAAAGAGAAGAATATGCTCTATGCTGCACATTAATATTTGCATTTTATTTTTAGTTAAATTGTCTCGTAAATAGTGGTGCTGTAAGCAGACTCACCAAAACTCAAAACAACTAAGAAATCACGTTTAAAATTTAACTTACAACTTGTCGTGCAAAAAGATATTTGGTTTTTATAATGGGTCAGTCTTGTACCAAAAACAAACTGACCTCTCCAGGACTGATCTCTTTCGTGTTGCGCAGAGTCAGGATCTTCTGAAAGGCAAAGGTCAGAACAGCCCCTTTGAGGCGCGTTGCAGTGCGGTAGTTGATGGCCCACGTGAGCCCTAGAGCCCAGGAGCGCGTGAGCTCTATGAGGAAGATCCCAATCACCAGGGATGCACCGTACAACCAGTCAGACTCCATGTTCTGGATGTAGAACAGTAGAGCTCGAATCATCAGCGCCTGAGGAAGCATGGACCAAATGTTTAAAAACTTAAAATCATGACAGAATAAGGGACATGCAGGGCAATAATAGTTTTATCAGAGGTAAATTGAAAATTAAATTAGTATATCAATTTTTAAAGCAATATAAATATTTCAGTCAATTTCACATAAAGTTAAAATATTAGTAGTGTATCACAGGATGTGATGAGACCCCATAACAAGGTGAATTTATTAAGATTTGTCTGTTGCTTTTGTTTAATCTAGACAGAGTTTGTATTTATTTGGTACTCACAGGTCCTGCAAAGCCTGCCAGCATTGCAATGATTAAGGAAAGTATGGCCATTGCCAAACGTGTTCTGCAGAACTGCCAGAACACTCGGATAAGAGATGCTCCGTCACGGCCTTGTCCTTTCAGCTCATGATGCCACAAAGACTCAAGCCTAAAATGACAAATGTTGAAAAAAAACAAGTTAAATATCAGGGCTGCAAACTGGCAATAACCTAAAAATAAAATAATGGACAAAACAGAGGAACTGCAAGAAGGCCTTGGGTTCAACTCCCAGCTGTCAATGGTCCTGTCTCTGTGGAGTTTGTATGTGCTCATGCCTGCAGGTTTTGTCAATACTGGTATGAGGCATGTTTGGTGCCACAAAAGGAGGCTGCCTTTACTGCAGGACGACAGCGCCATGTCCCGTCTGACTTCTTCAGGAACTTATCTCAGGTTTGTGAATAAAAAGAGGAAGACTGCAGGCCAACAGTCAAAACTAAAACACCTTGCACTTTTCTTCGTGAAGTGAAAGCCTGACTATACTCCATGATGGAGACCCATTTCTACACAGTTAGGAGTGTCCAGGTCGGTCTACCCCTAGCTTGGCAACCCACACCCACTTCCTCACAGCAGTTGTCTGGCTTGTTCAGCGACCTTTACCCTGGTCTTCTCCTGAATGAATTCTCAGCTCGGACTGAACAGGACAAATCTAAGGCTGAGTTTACACGGAGACAATGTGGCAGTAAAACGGTATAGTTGGATGTCGGTTCCTACCAACCGTTCATACGAAGACTGTGTTCCAGGGGGGTGAAAACGTAAGTGTTCAGATCCAGCCTGCAGAGAGGGACAACTCAGAAACGCTGCACAGCGGGAGCTCTCTTTCACACCCGCGAGAGGGGAAAAGGTGTGAAATCCCCCTCTGCTCTGACCCCCGCCTCAGCGCTGCTCCCCGCACGTAAATTTGGACATGCGCAGTAGCGGAGAACCAACATCAACAACAATGGCGGCGGTCACACTAACTAGCTTCGTGGGCTTCCAGCGCTGCACAGAGGATAATTCTACTCCTTCGTTCGTCCAAACGAGACCACGCGAAGCTCTAGGTTCAGTTTCCATTTTCACAGCTGCTGTTAAAATGCAGAATGATGTTAGTACTTTCTGAGGGTCTGGCACAGGAAGTGAGTACACTACCGAGGGGGAAGCTGGGCACGGGGCTGGGGTCGTGTGAGTGTTGTAAAGTTTCTCTGCCCACTACTGGCCGGGCGCTAGAACTACATCGTTTTTCAACCTCATGTGAACGCTGAGAAATTTGCAATAGGAGCCAGGTCGTTTCTGTTAATAGCCTGGAAACGTCTACGCAGCGTCTCAGTATAAACAGGGCCTAAGGGTTCTATTGCCGGGGCTTACAGCTGCCATAGAGATGGTTGTGACAAAGAGAAAAGACCCCTCACTGTCTCGCCACCAAATGGGCAATATTTGTTTAAAGTTTTGTTAAGTATTAATTGTAATTTTGTTTTACAGATAATTGCATGCTGTAAATGTACTAGCCTCAAGATTGCTTTAAAAAGTTTTCAATTAAAGAGCATCTCACCAAAGTTAACTCCCCAAGGGTGATTTACACACCCTCCATCTTTGCGTTGCATCAGCATTGCATAACTGTTCTCTAAGTCTATGCCAACTGAAGTCCTGCACACGCTTGTTTATTTTAACCGCATTAGTAAACTATTGGCTGACAGCATTAATGTAATAGACTCACTCGAAGGATTCTATGTTCAGATAAAGAGACAGTGTACAGTTGGACCGATCTATTGAGGAGAAGAAAGTCAGATCCTAACCTCGTTTGACATTCTTCATAGTGTTAAATGTATTGCCCAGACTGACGAACCACCAAAGTCCTAGACTTCCTTAAATACTCATTCCCTTTATATTGCAGAATCATGGCTGTGTGACTAATGAGAGTCCAACCAACAATAAGAGTGTACTTTTAGCGTTAGACAAAACCAAAACTACCATGTAAAAATATTTTGAGGCATTTCCCATACATTTATCCATGTGGCCCTAGAAGCTACATTGTTGTCCTCAGCCAGCACGAGACTGACTCCTGTCAATGACAGCTAATGAATGTGACTACATGACTGTCCACAGGGTAATGACATAACCACCCAGGCACTTGTACTGTAAGCTCTAATCCCCACTATTCTTAGCAAACTCATCTGAGGCTGGGTACAGAAACTGCATGTTCAAGCTCCACAAAAGGACACATGCGTACAAACATTTTCACAAAGGGCAGGACAGTACTTTAGTATCAACATGGTGACAAATCCATCATAAAGTACAGATTTCTGTAATGCTAATCCCATACTCAATCATAAACTACAAAATGCCAAAACCGTGCTGTCATCTGCTCTTGACTTCTAACCTAAATGTGATGAATGCACTCAGTATTTGAAGTTTCTTTATTTCTTTAAAATTCCATTCCAGACAGAATGCGTACCGTCTCTACTCATGTCCAGCTTAATCAACTCAAACTAATTCACTCAGTTTTTGACCAAGGATGTTACCTAAACTCTTGTGTCTAAGAAGTGTTGTAACCGGGAATGGTACATGTGTCACTTTCTCAACAGAACACTCACTTTGATCTGGCAACCGCATAACAGACACCTCACCTTTGACAGTTAACTTCTGCAGCATCGTGGCAAGACACCCCCCATACATCATCTATGGACAGATTGGACTGTCTGTTGGCCTTCAGGATCAGAGGATCGAGCCAGCTCAGAGTCATGGAGGAGAAAAGGCCGGCATTGTCGACTGGGTGCTGGTGCCTAGAATAAGAAAATAGGTGAGAGGCCAGAACACACAGGTGCTATGTTGGGTGGGGGTCATATGGGCAGCAGACATTGGAGGAGCTGTTTGCTTTGCAAGTTGGATCATGCCTGCAATGTTTGAGCAAACATTTGCATGCAAGTCACAAAATATGAAAGCTGTGGGAAAATAGCTGAGGAGAAGGTGATGAAATATTAGAAATAAGACCAAAACTCAAAAGTATTCTCTATCAACTTTAAATTCAATGTAGCAGAGATGGTTAACAAAACTGTTATTACACAAAAAAAATATTTTAATCAGTCTGTCAATTTGCTGCAAATAATTTTACAGAAGGCTTGAAACTATGAAAGTACTATATGAATTAGTCTTTACTTGTGAGTTAATCTGAAAGGCTTCAAAAGTTGCAAGCTATGCCGGTAGCGCCCTCGCCGTTTTCGCCCCTTCTCAGCCGATGTTGTGATTTCTTCTTCTTCGGACTCCAGCGGGGGATGTAGAGAGGACAGGGCCAGGTCCTCTGCCTGCCCTGCAGCCTCCAGGCCATCCGAAAACATTGCAAGTCCTTCTGCAATTGTAAAACACAAAACATTGTTCAATGATCTTGTGATCAGATTGAAGAGGGAAGAATGATAATCGTCATCGGAAATTACAATTACTTGTTACATTAATTGGTGTGACTCGATTCAACAAGTCCTTTTGTTGCATCACCTTTGTGAGCTTAAACCCAAGCTCACCTTTCACAGGGTGATACTCTTGTACCAAGACACTGCTTATCTATTTAAAGGCATCCTGCCAAGTCACTACAGCTCCCACAGTTCAGACATCTGAGCCTGTACATCCACACCACCTCTTATTACAGTATGAACTCCCAAGGTCAGAATAGCCACTGAGAATGCTGTTGGACAGAGATAAGTGATGAGCTAAAAAACATTCATGGGAAACACTGATAAGAGTGCCTACATAATGGCACATGAACACAAAATGTTACACATAGAAACATTGTTCCAAAGTAAGATGCTAATCAAAGTTTTAGGATTCGACAAATCTATAAAAAATCAAGTCGTTTAAATGAAATACAAGTGGCTCAAATGTAACAGAAGATTGATTAGATGCACAACAGTCAGTGACACAGTCCATTATAATAGAAAAGTGCAGGATTCTGTAACAGGGCACGGCAGCTGTAGTTGTATATCAAGAATATTATCAATTAACAGCTGTCCTAACAGCTCAGCGTTGATTCATACCTCACTTAAAACGTAATAAACGTAAATTGCTCTAAATGAAACGAAACGGCCTTGCACTTGATGACAGGACCTGACCACAGGCGTTATGATAGTGTTACTATGACATTAGTCCAAAGCAGAATCTGGTTAACCCGAGTAATAGCATCTTCATAATTGATCATAGCAAATGTTTCATAACTGCTTTAACTTACATGCAGTCGTGCTGGTCCGGGTCACCTTAGCAGCGGATGTGTCCATGTTGATGAAGAGCGCATGAAGATGTAAACAGGACACACTTCAGTACGGTACTAGAATGTAGCTTCAAACCCAACGCAGTGAAGCTGAAGTGTACAAAACACTACAGAGACGAGGCAGGAACAAAAACACGAGCCATGGGCAAGCTGACGCCTCACGTGGATGATGTGCGTGCCGCTCCTCCCAGCAGCGAATCAGCTGCGCCTCAACCGGAGGGCAATAGACCCCAGAGCACAGCGTCTGCTGCTGGGACCGAGGGGGGCGGCCATCTTGTGAGTGTACGGAGAGACAGTAAACACAAGAATTTGAGTACATATAGCCGTTATAAAAATTTCCCGATGGAGATGATAAAGTTGTGCAAACACTCGGTCAAAGGTGCACAGTTTTTTTAATGCATTACTATTTTGTTGATACTATATAATAATATTAGCATGAATAACGAATCCTATTTAAAAATAGAATCTGTCGCATTTCTATTAACTATACTATTTATATTAATGTAGATAATTGCTATACAATTACATTTAAAAATAAGTAAGATTGACTGGGGGTTGGCGGTTCACATTCAGAACTATCACGCCTGTTTAGGGCGACAGTAGCTCATTTGGTAGAGCTTTGGCCTTTGAGCCAGTGGGTCTTGGGTTCGAGCCCGACTTTCACCATCAACTCCCGCTGTCTGCTGTCGTTGTGTCCTTGGCAAGACTCTTAACCTCTAGGAACACCAGCCACAGTGGGGAGGCTGCGGCTGTAAAGTGCCAAACTGCCGTTGTGTCCTTAGGCAAGACACTTTACCCCCATTGCCTAGAATGAGACTGGTGTGTGTGAATGGTTGGCAGTGGTCGGAGGGGCCGATGGCACATACTGGTAGACTGCCCCAGGTGGTGCAGCTGTGGCTACAGTAGTAGTTTATCACCACCGTCTTTGGAGTGAATTAATAATGACATGTCTTTGAGTGTCCAAAAAAGCGCTATATAAAACGAATGCATTATATATTGATTTAATATGGACATAACAATTAACATTGGACGAACCAGATGTATTGCTGTAAGTGTTATAGCACAGGTGCTTCTCTATGGTATCACAATGATGGCATCTCATTGGTTCCTTGTCCATGATCTTAATTGTCTGTTTATACAGAGATGGTTACTGGTTTGAGAATGGAAACTGATGTTTGAGAAGACCACAAATCATTTCTGAAATATCAAATACTTATCCCCGTTACCTGGAAGGAATGCATATTCCTCACATTTCGACTAGATGCTTTGAGACAACTAATACTCACATTTGGGGCACAGGACCTGGAAGCATTATCATTTAATTCAGTGCTTATAATTAAGCAAAAAAATATATATATATCAACTCGCATCTGCGCGGATAACCCAAGTTGCATTCATTTGAAACGTGTAAGCCATATTATTAAACATGACCATTTCAGAATCTCAGGGGAGTCCTGGGCCCAGACGGGGGGCGGGGAAAATTGATCGGAACATGTTCGTATACAGTCACAACATGGCCGTCCGCCCGCGAGCGAGTTCTAGCGCTTTGCAACATGTTTTGACCGTGGGATTCCCGACACGGCGATGACTTCAACCCGCCTACACCAATCCTCGAGCGGAATCAGCAGTCACCCTGGCAACCGTCACCGTTAGGAGGAAGCAAAGACAGCGCACGAGGGAGGGGTGTAAATACGTGACCCCTCCCACCGAGGATGTGATGAGATAAGAACGCCCATAGAGGAAAAGTACTGGTGGATGTGATGCTTTTTATTAAAGTGAGCACACTGCGTTTCCCGTGACCGCCTAAGGATAAATCCGTCTGCTGCTGATTTACACTAAGCCCTTATATAGTTCTTTCACATGTCTAGGTCCAGCCAGTGCCTTTTCATGTAGTAGGCGTAATAACATATTGGACAAATGGAAGTCTTTTATAGCAAATTTATAGAGAATACTATATTGTCCTGCTCAAACTTCACCCCCTGATAACATTTGCCGTCCGCATAGTTTTACTGAAAAGAAGTTACTTGACAATGGCTGAACCAAGTTAAAAAAAAAGTCAAATACTACAATTAATCTGAAGGAATTACAAAAACTTAAATTTATCTTTCATGTTTTTCTATACCTTTTCCCTCCATGGACTTTAAGACCATGAGCTCAACACATAGACAAAGGAAAAAAGATTTTTGAGCTGTTAGGACAACTTACAAAAGACAGTAGAGTTAATAATAATAATAACAATAATAATAATAATAATAATGCATTGGTTTTATATAGCGCTTTTCTGGACACTCAAAGACGCTTTACATGTCATTATTCTTTCACTCCAAACACGGTGGTGACAAACAACTACTGTAGCCACCTCTGCCCTGGGGCACACTGACAGAAGCGAGGCAACCACAGTATGTGCCATCGGCCCCTCCGAGCACCACCAACCTCACACACACCAGACTCATTCTAGGGCAGGCAATGGGGGTGAAGTGTCTTGCCTAAGGACAAATCGGCAGTTTGGCACTTTACAGCTGCAGCCGCCCCACTGTGGCTGGTGTTCCCAGAGGTTAAGTGTCTTGCCCAAGGACACAACGACAGCAGACATCAGTGGGAGTCAATGGTGAAGATGGTCCCGTGGTGGGCTCAAACCCACGGCCTTCAGGCTCAAAGGCCAATGCTCTACCAACTGAGCCACTGTCGCCGGGCTTCAGTTGACCCGTAAATATATTCAATCATTCAAACTGTAGCTAAAATCATTCAAGGTTTCAAAAATTACTAAATAAATAACGGGAATAAATAAGAATCACCGTTTTTGTTAAAAACGGTGATTCTTGTTTATTTTGTAATTATAAACCAGTGGAAAAAATATAATAAAAGAATGAATAGCTTCAAAGAAAAGGATGTAAGCGAGGAGCACTATGGTTTATAGGTGCACCTCTGTGGCCCAGATGCAAATGTTTATATAGTTATACAGTATATATTTCTGTATATAAAAGAACTACAATGGATGTTTGTCAAACTAAATGAAAACCTTTGGACACATCCACCCATTCTCTTCCACTTTATCCGTTGCTGGGTCATGGGGGCAGCAGCGACGCCATCAGCAGGACGCTGCCCCCCCATGAGCGTGTGGCTCTTCAGTTGTTCTTCTCGTGTTTCTCAGGATCCAGACTCGTCCCAAACTCTTAATCAGCTTTATGTGGAAGAGTATTTAGAAGGCTTTTGATCAAATAAATCATTACTAATTAAGTTGTAAACGTATGGCTTTGGAGGACCTACTCTTTGTTATAACAGGTCTCGGTTTATGCACTATGCAGCATGAATAATGAAAACTGAAATGTGTAGAGTAACAAACAAGTGCAACTGTACAGTATATACAGCTCTGATACCCAGTCTGGCACTAAGGCAACATAATAATAAGCATAAATACCTCCACTGGATCATCTCTATTCTGCAAGAGTCATTGAAGGAGGAACTCTCATCATCGGACTCCTGCGAGGAGTCCCTGGGATCAGGAGAGGGAGACATTTCCTTGATTCTTGAGGCCAACCTCCTGTATCTCCAGTGTGGGCCGTTGCCTGATCACAAACACACAATAAAATACCAGTATCTAAACGCCAATCCACATCTTTAAAGTAAAAAAAATCTGCTATTGTTTTGATTTATTTGTCCTTCTTGAGTGCTCTGATTCACATCAAATTTCAGAAAAAAGGGCATTGAAGGTAAGCACTGTCCTGACGATTTTTCAATTTTTAAACTATATAAAGGAATATCTGAAAATAATTGCATCCTTTGTGAAATAGATTAGAGTGAGAATGCACGTGTGAACATACCTGTAGCAGTTATGACTTATCTAGAAGGACTCATGTGGGAATTACTTCAGGATCAAAACACATGGCAAGTCTAGTTTAAAATGTTCAGTGGTGGTGAATACATTTGGCTGTATATCTGCCTAAGCCACCGTCACAATCCAGAATTAAGCTGGCATCACCTTGAAGTGGGTACAGTTCCAAGTGACAGTAAGATGTGAAATTGCAAATTGGTGTTCAATATGGACCGTTATTATCAAATGATAGTTTGATAATCACGAGA